AATGACGCGTAAAGAAAAAATAAATAAATATTGTGATGAAAAGTTACTCCTTGTGGATATATTAAATAGAATGATGAGATGGCAACGTAAAGCTGTTTTATTTCCAGCAACTGGTACATTTGGTTAGATCACGTTTATTCAATTAAACCGACATAATACATGCAAATCATACTTTAGTGAAGATATAATAAATCCATGAAAGAACTTCAAACTGCAACACAAGTACACGAATTGTAAATTCCCAAAACCACGAACGGTTGGCCACCCCAATCGTAATACAATACAGTTCGCTACCGCCATTCAAGCCCGTTGACACTTCTATAAAGCCACGATTAACAATCACAAAACGAAATTAGAGCCCAATAATATTATTAGGTTTTTTTCCCCACTTACTTGGCGAGTAGCGCACAAAGACTGGGTCCCCTTACTCTATACCTTAATATTGTGCTTTGCTAAGTGACGCTTAACTCGGGTTACCACCTACGTATTTGTGTAAACACAATAAATATTTTTTTCAGGGACCTCTTTATCTTGTAAGTGTAGATTCAAGATATGATTTAATTCCTACACGAGATTTTTATCCAATTTGTGTCATATATTTCTGATGTTATGTATAAGTAGCAATATTGTTTAACGTTATGGATTTTAACATCATTTTAAATAAGATATACATTAAATGAATCAAGCAAATTTCATAAGTTGGTCATGCAAAATACAATCAATTTACACGACTGAGGCAGTAAGCGTATTAAATATAAAGTTAATATTGTATAGACTTTTATACCCACTAGACTTTTTTAGGATTCCGTACCCAAAGGGTAAAACGGGACTCTATTACTGTGTCTCTCTGTCCGTCTGTCACTAGGCTGTATCTCATGAACCGTCATAGTTAGACAATTAAATTTTTCACAGATGATTTAGGTATTTCTGTTGCCGTAAAAAAAGAATAAAAAAATAGTTAAGTGGTGTTCCCATACAACAGACACGATTTTTTTGCCGTTTTTATAGATAATGGTATGGAACCTTTCGTGCGCGAGTCCTACTCGCACTTGATCGGTTTTTTTTCTCTCACTGAAAAATGTTCCTCTAGCAATTAGTGTAATCGTTTTGATACCAATTTAGTTACCGTTTATATTATAGTACTATCCAAACGAATCGTAGAAAGCTAAAAGAAGCAATGCGTTCCCCGAATTTAAAATTGATAGATTGATTGACAGGAGATATAACAATAAGGGAATCATGCGAATTTCGTAATGAACATATGAGAGCGGTAGTCAAGCGAGAAGTGCACCGGATAATGGGATTACATGCCATGTGGCGATCGATTCATTCTTTGATGTTCGTATTCATTGTGTCAGTAACCAGTCATTGAGCATACTGGGTACGCGAGTATACACCCGGTAATTCGATTATCTTTTTTTTTTTTTGACAACGCACTTGTTTACGCCATTACAATTTGTCTGTACTAATAATACACGAGAAATGTCAGTTAACGTTGGCAAAGTACTACTTATCCAACTTGTTTTTTTATCATAAAAATATTTTGATTAAAAAACCAATATGATGAAGCAAATTTACCTCAAATTTTCCTTCCAGACGTTTCAGACGATCTGTTTTTGAAACTAAAAGAACGCCTTCTTTAAAAAAAAACCCAAAGTAGTGTACAGACTAGGCTGTAGTGAAATGTATGTTAGGCTTAATCTCATTAAAAGTTATAACTATTTATGCCATTTATTCCTAAAGTATTAAACTAAAAAACATAGCGACCCCTAATTGTGATGAAAGGAGCGTAATCAGGAGCTTTCAAAGCTTTACAGCAACTCGTACGATAAAGTGATTTATTCCAAAGCCAATAGATATCACATTTGCGAAACTCACTTCATCACTTACGCCCATTGTCGTTCAACGAGGGATCGCGGAAACAGTCGAGTGGTCATTAAATCGTTCACAAGTGAGATTTAACACCGCGAACGGCGGCACAATGGGCAAACGCCATTGTCGACCATTTTGTTTTGTCAATACGTAAATAGTTCATAAATATTTAAACAGCTTACCGTCCGACCCTTGGGAACGGCGCATTGTGAACGAGTTTTTGCTTCGAGCAAAGTGAAAAAAAGCGAACGGACACAATTGCAAATTTGTCGAGTCAACGTCGAATGGGAGCTTTCTGCATAATGCCAACAATCGCTGAACTACTAATTACCAACATCGTTCGAATCGGATGTCAAAAAATGTTATATCTATCTATGTATTAATCAATGATATTATATACAAATAAGACATAAAATATGTAACACACCGAAACTGAGACACTTTACGCCAATTGACGTAATTACATTGCAACTCTGTAAACTCTTTCCGTATCATACGTTTTCTATCATCTGTTCATTCACTTATATATGTAATATAATGCAAAGCGGAACAGTTTAAACGCTGCGCAGTATGGATATGCGTCATCTTTATAATAACATCATTGATGTTAATCTATACAGATAAATAAAATTGAAGTGTCCGTTTGTAATATTAAAATAACCGCTTTTTACTAAATGCATAACGATGTATATACGGTATATATACCAAAAAACTTTTTTTTCAATTTCTGTCTGTCTGTCTGTGTAATCCAGCTAATTTCCGAAACGGTTGGATTTGGACGGGATTTTCACTGACAGATACCTGATGTAATAAGGAGTAACTTAGGCTACTTTTATTTTAAATTTTTTTTATTTTAAATTCTACCTACCTACTTAAATAATAGGATCTCTTTTTAATAATATCGTTCGCACGCCGGAGTGTAATATTTGGCACAGACATGATTTTTAAATAAAGTTGGGACCGCAAACTGCTTTTTGTACGAGCTGAAAAATTATTCAAAAAGTTTGCGTGAAAAAAGGTATGCATTGCAGTCACTTGAGGGATTGACTTTTAAAACCGAATTGCACCCGTGCGAGACCGGGGCGTGTCGCTAGTTTTGAATAAAGCAAGTGAAAATCGGATGTCATTAACTTGACACGCGAAGGTGCAGCCAGCTGAATCCACGCTACCTCTAAGCGAACGTGAAACCAATGCTAGCAAGCAAGGCACTTCTCGGAACGGTCATCGATGTATGGGCCGTATCGCGCCTAATTCAATTACAGCACCATTGCTGCCCCGCGTTTTTGCCCGTGCGCTGACTATTCGACGCCTCAACAATGCATTTATTTTGGCAACAATAACTGTACACGAATTCGTCACAATGCCGTTAGAATCTCGGACGCGGCCCGGTCCGGTCACGATGGCCGGCGGTTTTTTTCTCCACTCGAAAGTTACCGTTCGGGAGTAGGTTGTCCACGTGCCCCGCTTGAGGTGGACGCCCTACATGTGTATCGAACTACGTAGCTAGTTCACGCATATGACGAGCATGTATGCACTGGCGCATGAATGTGGATAGGTCGACTTAGGTCACAGTTCCGCCTGATCAATTGAAGCGAGAAGTTTTAAATACAGAGGATTATTTATAGTATAGACTTTCATTCTATTTAAAGCATCTTAATTCGCAAATTTCACAGTGTTTTTGCGCTGCACTTTACTACTAATAGAGGCATCGCGGGTCGATCGTTATTGCCCTTTCTTATTAATATGTCTTCCTTACGGTTTTCAAAATATGTTTAATCGTGTCAGCGTTTACTGACATTCAAAATACTGCCGTTCGGAACATCTTAATTATCGATCTCGTGACGTCATAAATCAGTTCCTACAAAAGCTTATTACTTTCCTTCATTACATTGTACTTTTTCTACATTTGATTATTTGTCAATCTCGGCGATATTTGATTATATACAATACAATTTACATGATAATATGAGGCGTACTTAGGGCTTAATATTTTTTTTAGTTTTTAGATGACATATTTTTCTTGTCTATAAATATAAAATTAACACAGCATTGAAAATAACTACTGGTACATGTAAACAGTATTTAAAATTATTGATATATTTTATATGCATGTATGTCCTGATTTCTTACAACATTGTGGATACAGTTTACACGAAAAATAAATTATGTTTACGCTTCAAGTGTTTATCGTGTCCTGCACGAGATACCGATCTTAATCTCGGATTAGTGGCGCTTTAAGGGCCATTGTTAGGTTGTCTAAATGCGTTACATTATGTCTAAGCGATTGTGGTGCCACCTATGGGGTACAATGGGGATACCAACAGTCGGGGCACTCCACTCCCACGCGTCACAATGCTTGAGCTTGGCGAAATCTTTTCCGATCGACCCGTATCCGGTTCAATTTTTTTGACCACTACTACCTTGAGGAAGCCTGCATATTTTCGAAATAATAACGAAAAAAACTTTTTTTATATACCAAATTATATGAGTTTACGTCAATTAGCTGCCAATTGCTAACAACTAAATGCTGACCAATTTCTTGAATATTCTCACCTATTGCATAGTTTTTGTAACAAAGCTTTTTGTCTTTAAAAGCTTTTCATCCGATCAAATTGAGGCGCTATGATGATAGGGACGTTCTTGAAACTCTCTGTAATTATTTTTATACTGTTGACCAATTATTGTGAGCTTCTGACCAATTGTGTGTTATTCATAACTATATAACGATATTGCAAAATTATTATTTTGAGATCCTAATCAGAAAAAGATAACTTACATTTTTTTTGTAATTGATACGTAAATAACATTGACCAATTATCAAAATTAATTGAACAATTTCAATAATGTAAAATGTAATTATGTTTACAGAAAGGAAGAAATCGAATTTCTCAATCAGTTATCAATACTAAAACTCCACACAATAATTATAATATAAGAAAAATGCCATAGATAATAACATAATACATTTTACCTCAACCGACGTCAAGTAATTTTACGTCAATTATTCGTTCAAATTTTGAAAATTAATAGTTGTAATCATGAATAAGTTATTAAATAAGAAATCGTTGGAAATTAAGAAGCTCTCTATCAGAAATGTTTTATTTATTTTTGTTATGGTATTTTCCGTAATGGGTTTTCACACGTGGATTGTTTACAAAACTATGGCGGTGCTGGACGATGTGAGTAGTATCATTATATTAAAGCACGGCAGACGATTCAACAGACCTCCACCTTCCAAAGCGATATACGTTCTTCTTCGGCATCGATATTCAGAAATTCTGAGACAGCAATCGGATTGTTTTACCGCAAGGAACTGCGTTTTAATCGATGACAAAAATCACTCCGGCGACAATTACACGTTATTTGACGCTGTCATGTTCGGCCAAGAGTCCTCAGGACTGACTAATAGCCCAGGGAAACCATTCAAAGCCCTGAACGTCTTTACTTCAACGTTTCCACCGGACAGCGAAGCTGTCTGCGATATAAGCTATGATGATTTTTTCAATTTAACGTTTTCTTATCGTCTAGACTCAGACGTTGTCTTGAAACGTTTCGTGGTGCGTAAGCCTAATGGGGACATCATTGCACCGGGGGTCGCGCCACCGTGGGGTGCGAATCTAAGCTCTTTATCCAATAGGATAAGGTCGATAATAAAACGTAAAAGGAAAGCAGTCGCCTATCTGAACTACAACTGCAAGCTGGAGAGTTCGAAAGGGATGTACTATAATAAACTGGAAGAGATCTTTACAGAATACGCTCTAAATGTCGATACATACAATTGTTCTTACGACTGTGATAATGAAAGATGTGGTGTAACTTTGCCGGATGAATATTATTTCTATATAATATTTGAGAATTATTTCGCTGAGGATTATGTCACGAACAGAATATTGGACGCATATGATAATTATGTAGTTCCAATATTATATGGTGGAGCAAATTTAAGCAGGTATTTTGGGTGTTTTAAGAAATTATTATGTAAATCGATTTATTTTTGTACTTTTAAAGGTATATATTCTATATATTATCTATCAATAGGAGCTCGTAAATCTGGACTTCTATTTTACAATAGTACGCCAGTTGTTTTAAAGCGGAGATTATAAAAGTTGAAGATTGTTTTCGAATGTATCACACAAGCATGCACATATACACAAACGCTTTTTACACACAATTTTAAAAAATGTGATACCTACTCGTAAACTTACTTAACTTGATAAATATTAACTATTTTTTCTTTCTTTCTTATTTGGTCTGTTAATTTTTTTGTTGAGTTTTTTACCGTTCTACTACCCAAACAGATTGCCAAAAACTGTTATTTTAACGAAATTTATTTGTATAATCGAAAATTTTATTATCCTTCTAAATTTTGTGATAACTTATTATGTCTCTATCCGTTTTCTTCGTCGTTTTATAATGAATTGCTAGGACAAATTAAAAGCTCTATTTCTCTTGCAGATTTTTACCGCCGCATTCCTATATAGATGGTCGCTCAACGAAGCCGCGAGATGTGGTTGCGGCAATACGCGATTCGATGGACAACTCTACACTGTACGAGGAATATTTTAAGTGGAGAAACCTATATACGGTGGTAAAGCACCAACCGTTTTGCGACCTCTGCGATATTTTAAATACGAGGTCTCTAAATCTGCCAACAAAGAGAGACTTCAGGCGATGGTGGTATGGTGAGGAAGAAGCATGGCGATGTCTGTCGCTAGGAGAACAAAACGAAACTGCACATTATAATAGCACGGATATATCTATCAATGTTAATAAAGAAGCGCGGGAAAATTTAAAGTCGTGATGCAAAAATGGACAAAAACATTTTTATACATTATATCTTCTTAATAGACTTTCTTTAATTATCCATCCTGAAATGTTTAGTATACCTTCGAGATTTAAAATTATTTTGATGTTTGGATTCCCAAAAAAAAAATCTTGAACACAAGCGACAATATAATTAATCAATACCTTACAGACCAAACTTGAGATACCACTACTTGCAATGTTAAATACAAAATGTTTTATAACATTGTGAATGCCAAATATGTAGTGTTATAAAATAATATTAGTGCCATATCGATATGAAGTTTTACTACACAATACTGCGTGCTAAATCTGATAACAAAGTTGACGAACATCGTTCTCGAATTCGCAGTTCGATATGTCTAACGTCCGGTTTTCGTGCAGCCGGAATAATAATCCGGCACCGCCGCGCCCCCGGCTTACGGGGGAAACTCATCAAATCCTAAACTTGCGAGGCTTCGTGAAAGCTCCGCCGATAGTTTCCTAATCCGCCTACACAATAACACGGCTCTATTAATTTCGTATCGCTCACAAAAGAGCATGTTGCTATAAATATCGTTACAAAGGATTCCGTAGTAATTAATGCCCGAGACGCATACGTCACGCACGTCGGGCCCCTGGGGAGGTGCGGCGCACAATGCAATAGTTAGGCGAGGGGGCGCGTATCGGCGGACGTTTAACGAGCAAATTATTTAGTAAATGTTGCCAAATAATAACATTATTGCGGGCGCGGGTGCCCTACTCGAGGCAAGCGTTGAGCTGAAGCGACGGCTAAGGATGGACAAGCCCTTTCTTATCCACACTATGCAACTGAATGCAGATTGTTGAAACCGTTCGTTGTACTAGACTATTTTGAATGTGTATTTAAATGATCTTATGGAATGCTTTGAGTTTCATGTTAGGCTGAAATGTAGAACTTAGTTTGAGTAAAACAGATCAAATATCAATGTCGTATAATTTTAACTGGATTTATTCTATTTAACGCAGATGCAAACACCGTAGAAAATGGACGGTATGTGTATTTATTTTTGACATTGAACTTATTGCTAAGCTTTATTAAGAATTCTTCTATAGTATAATTCATATATTTAATATACCTACGCTGTTTATATTAACACGAACTTGCAGAAAATTAAACGTAAACACAAAGGTACCACCTAAAATCAGTAAATGCCGGTTTTTTATTTTCACAACCATCATGTTATCATGATGACATGTGATTCAAAAGAAAACAATTGTTCGTATATGTTCAAGAATAATAGGAAAATGACAGAGTACGAATGACGTATCGTAATCTTAGCCTTAAATTTAAGAATGATAATTCATTTCGTTGACACACCTTTTAAAATCGCATAAATTTTTACGTAATGACAGTACTCTGCCAATATATACAAGAAGTACCAACGTTAATCGTATATGATACGGCCGAACTGAGCGTCGAAGCAAGTCAACACAGCAACTGAAACCGGGCTAAAGCCAGGTCCACAGCCCCATCGGGTTGTAGAGGGCGCCACCCCAAGCCAGTCGGCCGCCCAATGGCGTCCCTCGCGCCGGCGACCTCCAGTGCAAACAGCGCCTCTCCTGAATACCACATAATTGAGTGGCTCCTCGAATCACCACTGATCCATCGTCGGGGTCGTTAAGCGCTAAACGGCCGCTAACTAACAAGGGTTTTATTGACGTTTCACGCGCGAAGGCACCGCCACAATGCACCCCCGACGCGCCGCCATCGTCCGCCCCGCGGCTATTTCAACTCCTCGCGCGAACGTTTAACGGCGTAATTTGAAGAGATTACTCGTATTAAAACATCGTCATTCTGCTTCATGAACAAGTGAGCTTGATGAATGGTCATGGTTGGTTGATTTGACCTGAAGCATCTTATGTAACTACCCTTCATTAAACTTAGTCCTTTTGCTTTTGAAAGCTGTCAATGAAGTATTATATTTATTTTTTAGGTTTCCGTACCCTGACTTTGTTATCTGTCTGTCCGTTTGTCACCAGGCTGTACCTCATGAACCGTGACAGTTAGACAATTAAAATTTTCACAGATGATTAGTTCTGTTGCCGCTTTAACAACAAAGTAAGTAAGCATATAATAGACGTCATTTGTTTCCCGTTTTTATTGATAATGGTACGGAACCCTTCGTGCATGAGTCCGACTCGCACTTGGCCGGTTTATTCTTAGGACACTTTACTTTTCGCCACATTTCACTCGTTTATTGTTCAATCAAAAGTAACTTGCTTATTATATATTATATGAAACTGTATCAGCTCTTAGCAATCAAATATTATCTGTATGTACATACAAAAGTTTTTGTCTATTTATACTATTGAAAAAAATAATAATTATATTTTAGTACTGCATTTGAGTCCAGAGGGGAACCGGCATGAAACTACATTCTTATCTTTAAAGAAAAAGGAATCCTTATGAGATCACTCTCTTATCCGTCTGTCTGTCGGTGCCACACCACAGATTTTCAAGAATGGGTGGATCTAGTAGGTTTAAATTTATACCAGATATTGAGGTCTATAGTCCCTATTAGTTGTAGAAAAAAGAAAAAAAGATATGGACAAATTTAGATTTTCTCGAAAACTTGTAAAGTACCAAAATTTCTCTTAATTTTCAACTTTTTATATTTTTCGGATTTTTTCTATACTTAACGTAAGCCTTTAACGATAATTGACAATTCTAGCTCAACCGAAAGTAACATACAGGTTTTCCCGTTGAAACACGAAATTTGGCAAAAAAAAAAAGATCAGGCAAGAGTGATTTCTACATATCCTTGTATCAATATATTCTTCGATATTATAATAGGCCCTTTTCATTAGGGTGGCTTTTACACAATGATTAAAATTGCTTACACTTAGTTGTTTGTGGATGTTGTCTATATTATATTAGTTAATACATCTACCATTTCTGGTTTTAGCCAGTCCCAACTTCGGTATTTCCAATTCAATTTTGTGTTTGAGTAATTTTTAAAATAAAAAAATGTTTGAGTAATACGATCAATGCACCGTGCATTGATCGTATATATAGTGTTCTAGAGTGTGTATAGTATGTTAGAACGTTTATTTTTTAAAGTGTTTATGTTTAAGCCGTGGAAAGAATCACGGGATCTTGTATATTGTATTAACTGATGTTTTTGCTTTCAGTTCCGAGACTATTAAAGCTTCATCTGACGCAGAACCGGTGGGCTAGCCAGAACCCACGGGTTTGGGCCCTCCGCTGTGGGTAGGGCCGCGCATGTGCTCATGCGTGCGGTTTACTACGAGAATCACGTGAACCCAAGCTGTAGTGAGACCGTATCGCTTGCTTTTGCAATATAAATAACATGTCTAAACCGGATGATAAACCCCACTCTAACCTCAAAATTTACATTACCATAACATACTTTATATATATAATATTTTTAAACGTGTGCTAGCAGTGCCTAGCAGTGCTATAACAGTTTTCTACACTAGATCAGTTTTAGAAAATTTCAATTATAAATATCCGCAGTGGTAGGGCCACGGAACAGTCTTCCCTGTAACACGAATGGGCAGTTCCGCCCGGGGATGTACCACGACCTCACAGAAGACCGAGGTGATGTGGAAGTGTTACACTTCTGCGTTTTATCTGGTGGCTGAGGTAGCCGGAGCCCAATTTATTAAAAGACGGCAACACATCTGCAACCCTACGTGTTGCAGATGTCCATGGGGGGCGGCTACACTTCAGGTGATCTGCTAGCTTGTTTACCAGCTACTCACATTAAATAAAATAAAAAAAAACAAAACATATCTATTCACTTGATAATTTATTTTATTGGAGTGAACGTGCGTATAAAACCGTTTTTAAAATACCCTTTAATTACAAACGATAGTATTAGTTAACGTTTTATGTCTACCTAAAGTAGCAAGAAAAACAAAAATGTGTTGGTATAACAATATTATCATCCTTAAAGCGTAATAAACATCAAAATATGACTTAATTATGTCAATTATAACCGGTTAATAAGATTTTATATGGGAAAATTTGGAAAGCGAACATGGATCTCCTTACATTGACCCCCGGGCATCTCACTATCAAGATGAAACGTGAAATTATAATATTTCACACCGGTTTTCCGTCAGGGTGTGTTCTTCACGAGTAGTGCCTGCCCAATACTCTATAAAACATACAAACATATTTAATCCTAGTTTCTTTACTATGAACTGGTCAATCGATATGATTATTGACCATAGTTCAAAAAAAGCCACACAATAAAGCTCGCCTTATTGGACGTCTGCACACGACGACTACATTTGCCTTAGGGATTAGAAAAAAAGTAGAGTTGTCATAGTGACGCGGGATACGCATTATAGACCCGAGGGACAGAGCGGTCCCCACAAACGGAATTGATAATTTAATAACCTGCGGAACGCGCCGCCTAATCTCGAAATTAGCAATACGATATGAATAAGTAGATTTCGGTTTCGTAACAAAGCAGATGTCGAGGGAATACGTCGCTGGGCCCGTTGGGCGTTTAGAGGATGATTAGTGGAGCTAATGAAGGGTTGTGGAGTTACGCAATTCTTGCTTACGCACATGTAGGTCTTTGTTTCACCAAGCGGGATGTATTTAATGGAAGTTTATCCGTGTTTATACGGCAAACGCGGGAAGAATTTGTTTACCTTTACAAAAATGATAGCAAAACTTACAATACGTGCAAGTCAGTAACCGAATTTGTGAAATTGTGGCACCTTTAAACAATAATCTGATTTGTAATACTGAAGAATAAACAAGAGACAGTACTTCTCCATCAGTCTTCGAAGTTGAAAGGCTTAAAAAAATCAAAAAAGTAAATCTCATTATAGATTTTTGGACTCGCTATTTTTTCACGGTATTCATTTGAAAAAAAAAATAGAGTCCTTCGCACAGTCAATTTGGAATGAGAGAGAAATGTCATTCGGCATGCAAAAAATAAATAGAGTAAACATGTAGCAAATAATTCAATAGCCTCATAACGACTACGGCGCGTCTCTCGGACAAAATGGGAACACATCGAGCGAGCAAAGATACGCCAATTACTCCGGGGGCAGGAAGCCCGCGCGCCTGCGCACCGCCTAATTGTTTCCGTCACAGTCTAACCTCCACTCTCCCTTCCGCCCCCGCCCCACTACCACCCCACCCCCACGGCCACAGCGGCGGCAGGGAACTCGGGAATATCTCAGCCGAATGTCTCCCCGCTAGGCGTGCTGTGTTTTTAAACTGACGCTATTTGCTGGCACGTAGACACGGATAACGGCGAAAAAATATTGTTTGCAATTTATTCCACAGATAACCTAGAAATGTGCTATGATAAAAGTATTACTTAACATTTGCGTGTTCGTAAGGAATCTTTGGCAATACCGTAGCTCAAATTATATTAGTTAGACTTTTGGAAATAAAAAGGTTGATACAAGATATCGTTGTATTATAAGTTTGTTCGATTTTTTCGATTTTAAATGATAGCTCCATAGATTATGGTAGCTCTATAAAGCTCGTTTAAACCACAAAATTCCAAAGACAATCTATTCTATGTAAAGACTAATCTTTTCATATATACATACAAGCTTTGCTAACTCAGTTTAATCCACATTCGAGTTCATGTTTAATAGTAATGATTCTTGTTAACTCCAAACTCCTCAAACCGCCTACAAAAATATGATTGGCAACAGAAAGAAACCTCTTGGTTAAGACGGTGCATAAATGCAAAAACACAGGCGTTCCCATTTTTAATTACTTTGTAAGTGTATAAAAAAAGGTTTGAAAAAGGTTTTCAAAAGGTTTGATCACCTGAATCCATCAATTCCTTGCATAGAAAGGTCGTCTTTTGAAGTATATGGGCACATAAAAACTTCCCTTTAGCGTTAAGTGCAATTTCTTTGCTAAAATACGACATGGTAAACGATACACAAAAACTTAAATGTGTTTCTCTCCGGAAAATTTAAATACATTCAAGAGCGAATTTAATTTCGAAGTATAACTTAGACGGTGGTGATAAGGATAAGCGTTAACATCACCAGGATAAATACACATATTGCTTTTAGGTAGTCAACACGACATTGCTTTGAAACGTATCTAACGTGATAGTGATGTGAAGTTATTTTACAAATTCAAATAATTTATTCATCGAAATAAGAAATATACATTTCATTTATCGATAGTCATTTTTTAAATCTACCGTTCGTAATGAGGTTCCTCTAACGGAGAAGAAACAGGCGAAAGAAACTCCGTAGGTATCCTCTTTTTTGTCATTTTTTTCTCAACAAATACATTGTTATACAGTACATATTTTTTTTAGAAACAGTTTAGGAGCGATCATCTCATTCCCGAGGGCTATTATACACACTGGGAAATCTACGATCCGTATACCCGTTGATATTAACAGGACAGACAGAAGCCGCAACAGTTTTTACCCGTCCAGAGCGATCCGATACCCGGAAGCAATCTGGCGCGGACAAAAAGCATGCGATTGTGCGGCGCACGTGCCGGCCGTGTGCGACTGTCCTTATTTAAAAGCGACGGTCGCATGGCGAATCGCCGACGTCACAAATTAGCCGCGCCAGTGCCATAGGCCGCTATTGTGACGTTTATCTCGATCTGTAACGTACGCGAGACAGGATCGGATGCTGAAAAGCACGCTGACGCCCGGTTTCTGAAACACTGATCAGTGATCATCGTAGAAGTCAACTAATGAGCTGTCAAATGGCTTTTATAATGTTATTTGAATTGCCAAAACGATTGTTAAACTCTTTGAATTGATCATTCTGATCATTAAGAAGATCATTCTGATCAATTCAGAGAGTTTAACGATCCTTTTGGCAACTCGAACAACATTTGAAAAGCCATTTGACAGCTGATTAGTTGACTTCTACGATGTTCACTGTTTCAGAAAACGGGCGTGAGACTCCACTCAGGGTTCTGAATAGCAATCCCTGACTGAATAGTGTACGTTCCACATTTGCAACGCTCATTTATTTGCGAACAGCACGGTTCAGCTCCTGCTGTTAAACGAATAGCCCGTCTGGGGAAGTACTACGCCATCACGGAAGAGTGCTGTAAAATATAATTGTTCGTAGTGTTACGTATGATTAGGTCAAACCTAACCTTGTTAGAGGTGGTAATCGATTACAAACGATACAGGTGAGTCGCCTGATCTTTTTAATTTAATACATTCATCTTAAAAACTGTCAAATCTAACTATCGCAATGTCTTTACCTGCGGCGAAGCCTAAGCGAAAATTACGCTATATTTCTATCTGTTCCCTCGTCTCCAATAAACAGTTGAACCGATTTTGATGAATGATTTGTTGATAGATTAGTCTCTTTTATTCTGGGAGTGTTACTAATTATGTATATGTATTTTTTATTTTGTACAACATTTAATTTTAGTAGTAGTTTGTTTTTAGACATGCATTTTTTTTTTTATTCGCTGTCTGGTTTTTTACTTATTTTATTTTGTAATAATTGCCTTGTTTAATTTATCTTCCTCCTTATTTTATTTATTCATATGAATCTATTCTTAACACTTTTACTGTTTACATCGTACATGTAGTGTACCATTTAACCGTCATACTCAATTAGGGTAACCCTTTACTGGATTTAATACCGGCACTACTACGCCATACATGCACTAGCAACATTCGGTGTAATACGTACTGTAAGCGCCGTCTGTTCTGGGAAGTGGCGGAGGGGGGAATAAATAATTCACTATCCGATAATAGTAGGATTAACACGAGGCAACCCTTTGTGGGCAGATTGAAAAACTTTTAATAAACATTTGCCCGTATCAAGTATTCACTTAGAGAATCCTCTATTGGGATAATGTTTATGAAACTAACATAACGACTATGGGTTCCGAGAATTTAAAAAGCTTTTTATCATAATATGACAATGTTATATTACCTTAAGAGAAATAATATTATGTATTTTGTGCTCTCAATATTAGCTTTAGATGTTTTTAGCAATTTAACTTCTCTCTTATGTGATGGTAACCTTTCAATTCAACGTTTAGTCACATCGTATAGCGTTAACTAAAACAAAATCCGGTTCAAATACCTCGCTCACTATATATTTTCTAATTATTATTTCTTTTCTATTAGTCTCCTTATAGGTAATCACATGATGAACCGAAACTAATGTAAAAAGAATATTAAAAATGAATTCATAAATGACGGAGTTTTGAGGTAACATGCATAAAAAAGAACTGAATTGAACACCATTCTAGAACCAGGCTGAAAAACTAGGTTATATAATAAAAAATATATAAATGAAAATAAAATTAAGGTAATTTTAGTTTCATTTAATTGACGATGTTTGAATTGTCCCGTGACCACAAAAGGCTTCTTTTTAATGACATCTTTCTCATTCATTCTTTTCTTTTTATTTACATCTCTACTTTTTTAGTATGCATTGAAGTATATTCATTACTTAAGTATTTTTTTATTAAAGCACATTTATTGGCTTTCGTTATACGGTCGATTAATTATCAATTTTAATTGACCTTACATGGTCCAAGTGAAGTATGTTAAGGCGACAAACTTTCAACGAGAATTCCCACTTTAATAACAAGATTATTAGAGTACGAAATACAAAGCTTTTAGATTCATAGCATAGCATCTTGTTGCCTAAAATCTTGGTCCCTTGTCATCGACTATTACCTATTGTTACCACGGAAAATTGTGAAGTATGTAATAACACATTTAATTTGTTAGAATTGCGCGTAAAAAAGTAGTATCTATTAACTTAGTAATATTTTGTCTTAATGATAATGTTCTCATTCTGTAAGTTACATAAAAATATGTAATATGTGCATGCCTTGATTAAGTTAATGTCTTACATACATGTTAGGTTATATGTGTTGATTAGTTTGAAGTGTAAATATTGCAACCGCATTAACAAATTTTTTTATGAATGAATATAATAAATATATAATTTATAAATGAAACTTTGCCCGATGAATAATAGACATTGCATCACTTGGATATCTTATAAGGTGCTGCGAATATAACTCGAAATGAAATATTCATATCACACTTCGTTCAGACAGGGGCTTTGTCCTAACAACCACTTTTACTAACGGGCCTGTCAATTTATATTTGCCTGCAATCATTAAAATAGGCGTCGGCACGTATCAACCCATGTTTTACTATGCCAGTTTCTACCAGACGTACGGACACACCCCGCCCCGCGCTGGCTTTCGCGCCACGGGCCCCAAAGGGGGGCGCGAGACTGCAAATGTTTAGTTACATTGGTAGCTAGTTTGAACAAACTAGCCGAATAAACGGGTGTCAGGAGTAATGCGTCAGAGAGGGCCCACAGGGGTGCGGACGTGCAGCGTTAACGGAGCTCATCGCCTCATAATGCTACATAATTCAATTGATTCCCCGACACTACCCGCACGCTTCCATCTAACTTCGTTTGCAGCGTTTTGATATCGGATAGCCGTTCGACGCCTACTCCCGCTTTATTTCCCCGGGCTCCCTCGGCGTTGGAGAAAAATAAAACAGTTGGTGTGTTATACTAAGTTTTTGTATTAAACAGGAATAAATAGGGTAACGATTTACAATGGCTACGCTTAGTGCTGGTAAGAGACGGCTGGAGACGAGAAGGTGACGTGGCCAAGTGGTGCTGAGTAGGCAACCTTGGCTACGGGTGCGGAGGCGTAGGCGACTGGTGCAGGCGCGTATGCCACTTTGGCGACTGGTGCTGGTGCGTAGGATACGGGCGCCGGAGCGTACGCAACTTTGGCTACTGGGGCGGCGTAGGCGAGTTTCGCTACGGGGGCGGCGTACGCGAGTTTCGCTACGGGGGCGGCGTACGCGAGTTTCGCTACGGGGGCGGCATAGGCAAGTCTGGCGGGCGCTTCAGTGGCCTGGCCCTCGTAGCGCACTACAGCGTTGAATCCGTGCACCTCGTCAGCGGTGTAGTCGACGATGCGGTGGACGCCATCGGGCTGGACCAGCGAGTAAGACCCCTGCAGAGAGTCACCGGCGCGTTGCTCGCGTTGCTGTTTGATGTCACCGCTCTGGGTGTCGTGGACGGAGTAGCTGAAGTCGTAGTTGGCGGGCGCTTCGGGTTCCGCGTAGGCGACCTTGCCGATGGGGGCAGCGTAGGCGACCTTCTGGATGGGGGCGGAATAGGCGACGTTTTGGATGGGGGCGGCATAAGCAACCTTCTGGATGGGGGCGGAGTAAGTCAGCGGAGCTGGTGCGTACGCGACCTTCGCGGCGGGAAGCACCGGCACAGCGATGGCGGTCGCGGCCGCTACAGCGCACAGGAAGACCAAAGCCTGGAATATACAATTTTATTCTGGTGAGGAACAAGTATTAGGAAATGATTTTTCTGAAGTTATAGGCCTAGTAAAGGGTAAGTAAAGTGTGCCTATGGGCCATGGCTTAAAAATTTCAAAAGATAGGGCTCCGTTTCCGTCTTTTGCTTAATGAAATAAAAATAGAAACTTCTATTTCATATCGTTAAAAGTTGCGGTCTTGATTGAACTCGTAGGCGTTGGACCACCATTAAGCTATAATTAGTTTGGTTTTAATTGTTGCATTTATCTGCGGAATAGGTAGGAAAATATAGAAAAAGTTTGAATTACCGGATTAATAAAATTAATTAAATTCAGTTTTTACACAAGTGATGATATCAACCATTAAATTAGACTATTGTCAGTAACAAGTAATCTATAATTATTTTCTAACATATTTTAACAAACCGAAAAATCCATTTACTAAAAGAATTTCGATTTTCTTTGTGTCATTTAGTACTTTTGACAAGTTTATTGCATTAATTCCTTAATATTGACATTCACCTCATAAAACGACAAAGACAGGATCTTTATGTTATTTCGATAATATTTCAATTAATTCCGACGACTCTTTGACCTTCAGTTATGAAATGGAATCATTTGGATAAATGATGTAACTTATTTATTTGAAATGTTTCAAATTAAGCCATTGCATTGCATCTCTTAACGTTTTTCTTTTAATTTCGATTGAATATTGAAATACCGATAAGGTTACGTGATATTTTTTTGTATAGAGAAATATTGTCCTTACTGTGTGAGGATAACATTCTCCTGTGTTGTAAGAACGTTTATATACATCAATTTCACGGGAACAAACACCTAGCTCCGAAACAATTATCCGTGGGTGACACAAATAGTTGTCCCGTGTGGGAATCAAACCCACGACCAACGGCGCCGAAGTCAATACCTTGGCAACTGCGCCATGCATCTTGCCAGTCATCTTATATTAATAAAGACCTTAAACGCAGACAAAATAATTCTCGAGAAATTAGATTATTAGACACATCAAATTCAACAACTCACCTTGGCTGCCATGTTGTTTGATTTAGTTATTGTGAGCTAATGATACCACATGTTAGCTTACGCACGTTTTTATACTTAACCAACCGCGGTGTTGCGTACGCGTTGCCCATCGCGCGTGTATAGACGCGTGGGTCAAAAACTGGATCGGGATTATATAATGAACTCATGGTCGACGGATAATTGGTTATTTGTCATGACAGGTATAAGTTGTGACTGGGCAGCGCGAAAGTTTGCCGTTTTGACACGCGGCAACGCTAATTTAGGCTGCGATGGTACCGTATTTCTAGAATATATTATGTTTAATCTATAACTTTGGCTAGGGTGTTTCGAAGCAAGTGTGTAGTGGGTCAAGTAATTATTACACACTTGACATATACACGCCAACTTGTAATAGCATTTTTACCCAATCGACTGGCTGGCAACTGGCTAGTCCTTAAGCACTATATTTCCTGATGGTAATGCATTATACTTAATGCAAAGTGTAGAGTAAAGCTCAACTCTTACCTCATATCTTTACTCATAGCTCATAGCATAAACAAATTCTCATGGTATATACAAGTTATATGATAGGAATGGCCATTTTAGGCGAACAAAATAAAACACGATAAAACCCGTGAAATAGTTTTATTATACCATGCACTTATTCTATTAACTACCAAACACTCCATACCATGTATGTTGCTTGATGATTGTTACGTTAACTTGAATATTGAAATTGCGCAATCGTTTCTCGCAATTTGTTTGGTTTATACAATTGGCAAAGTTTATTGGTACAACTGACATATGGCGCCACGAATATGATCTAGGTATGACCATACATTACTAGTGTACTAATCCCGGATCTTTGTCTAAATGATCTCAATATGCGACCCACCAATAGCTAGTGTTAGTGTTTTGTGGTCACTTCCTACTTTAATTACTTTGAAAAGTGTTGAGTGAGCTAACTCAATTAAAGCTTACACATATTTAGCAAATTATTCCAAGCTTTTATATCTTTTTTGACAAGCGCAATGTTTAAAACTGTAAGTGAGAATTAAAGATTCTTTTAAACAAAGTTTATGTGTTACTTAAAGTGGCGGTGGCCTAGCAGATGAAAAGTTTATCTAAGGTCTAAAGGTTCTAAACCCATTGCTTTGCAACAATATCAATCCGTTTTTTATATTTGAAAATTAATCATTGGAATGAAACTCAATACCTTAAGACCCGGCCGCCAGACTGTCATCGCCTTCGTAATTAAGCAGTTTATTTAACGGTCTTGCGACCTTGCGCATAGCGAGTATCTTACATCAACAGTAAACATTGCAATAATGGTATTATATCATATAAAAAAGCTAATTTAATTGTAAACTGTATCAGCGCATTCGAATCGGTAGCTCGGGTCACGAAGCCCCTAACAAATGAAAACGAGAGATGTTATCGATCGCACAATCTCTAGCGGTCAAATATAATAAGCGATACGTTTATACGGTGACCGGCCCGATTTGATACTTGTACCTAAATTCGGCGAGCATTTTTTCAGTCACAAACTCTTTAATTTTAATTTTAAAAACTTACTTACGTTTTTGCTGAGCTAGCGCGCTTACCATCAGGTGAGATGGCAGTCAAGTGCTGGCCAGTTAAAAATAAAAAAAAAAAAAAAAAAAACGTATATCTTTAGATTAAGCGAAAAGTTTCACAACTATGAAATCACCGAATTATCATCATCAAGTGATTGCAGTTAGAGAAAGGCCACTTTAAAGTCTTTGAAGTTAAAGCGAAATTAGAGTTGAGCTCAGTTTTTGTCTACTTTCCCTACTACTATCTATCTACTATCACAGCTTCATCGAACAGTAGAACTCGTGGACTAATCAGAATCCACTACTTATAAGCATATAAGCTTGTACGCCTCACTATGTTCGGTAGAGCTGTACCTCATGTACAGCATGTCATGCGTGCGTTATCTTAAACGGGAGGTATGTCACCTATTGGCCATCGTAGTTCGGTACGGATAGTGTCTCCGACGTTCGTTGGCTGTATTAATCGTTGTCACGGGACGGTGACAACCGACCTGGAAGGCGTACCTTGTATACGCATTGTGTCGCTGTGGTCGTAAATGAAGACTAATTGGTTATGTCGGCGCTCTTGTCTATTCACTTTTGATTTTGTATGTTGATAGTTAATAATTATAGTACCGGCGACCTCATTGTGGTACCATTAAATTTTTTCACTTGTATTTTTCAGTTCTAGTGTAGAGCGTAAGACTCAGCAAGACTTGCGGTTTTCTATCTCAGTGGTGCCATCGAAAGAACTTTCTTCGAATATATTACGCACAAAATTCACTGTATCATATTAATAGTATTTTTTATAGTCCTGTAATTTATTTAATATCTGGCAGGTACTGCCAATGCAATCTAATTCTCAGCGGACTTATTGTTTGCTTTTCTTTCATAATTTTTGTACTTAATTAGGGGCTACAGTTATCGATAACAAAGAAAATCTTTTAAGCCGACAAAGATGTTCTAAATTAGATTGCTTTGTTAAAAAATGTTACTAAAACTTATATTTAAACGGATTTTTACAAAAACTTACCACCGCCGTGAATTTACCGGTTCTCCTCTAGATAGTTTTTAATTCTTGATCGCAGGAACTGTCATTTTATATGAACTGGGAACAGCCCTCATCAACGCTATAAAAGTATTTTTTTTTTTCATGTACTTTTATGGTACAATGGAAACACTGAGTTGATGAGATTGCCTATTGATTTACCAAGCGATATTTCGACACTTACCATTAATCGCCATCGTTCAATATACTATTCAAGACTTGAAAACCGCTCATTAAATTCTGCTGCCCACACTAGATGAAATAATTGTTGTAAGCACTAAAATAATTCGTAATTTAGCTATCCAGTAATGTAAAGTAAAAGTAACAGCCTAAATATCTTCCATTGCGGCCAAGGCATCGCCTGTACAGAGGTTATGAGGGCATAGTCCATTACGCGTCCCTATCATTATCCAACATGTTATAAAAATGCAATCACAGCGCAAAAATCTAGTGTTTATTTCACATATAAAAATTTTATCCAAACCAATTTCGTACGCGTAAATCACTACATAGTATAAAACAAAGTCGTCCCGCTGTCTGTCTTTCCCTATGTATGCTTAGATCTTTAAAATTACGCAACGGACTTTGATGTGTTTGTTTCTACTAGATAGTGTGATTCAAGAGAAAGGTTTATATGTATAATACATTGCACCCATGCGAAGCCGGGGCGAGTCGCTAGTAATACCTAATTTTAATTACTTCTTTTCCTACATTATAAACTTCTTTTCCTATCTGAATAACATTTGGGTTTCAATTTAATTAAGATCAAGTATCAAAACTTTTATTATAGAAAAATGGCAATACAAGACCTAGACTTCATGACTTAATATTACTATAAGCATTTCTGTACCTGAATGGGACAGGCAATTACAATTCTAAAACGAATTATAAATATGTAAAGAGAATTGACAGTCCCGACGTAAAGATCGCGTTAGTTTGCTAAAAAAAATATTTCTTTTAACCTATTACCACTTCAAAATATTCAGAGTGATGATTTCTAGAGTATTCCACGAAAGACAATACTGGCATGTTTCCTTACTATGTTAATATTTTACCTCCGACACGTCTGGTCTGATATAATATGTTATTGAATACTGTTGTATCCAATAACTGTATGCGTGCAACTTGTATGCTATGTTAGCAGGCATACCGCAATGATCATAAGTCTACATGCGTCTACGCGTCCGTCGCTAATTAGAATGATATGCAATGAAAACAAGTATTTAATATGTAATACTTTTTTCTTTATTTTAGTATCAATCAATACAGGAACGTATAGAAGACAAACACAAGGATTGAACAAGTTGAAAAACCTCAACATAAAAATAATTTTGATTATTTTTGGAACGCCGACATATCTTTAGTCCCATCCCACGTAGGAATCGAACCCACTAGACAAGGCGCAAGAAGCACTTGCGCCGATACGCTATCCATTTATACTCTGTTCTTCATTTGAGTTAATTTATCTAATAGCACATAATAAATGGGTGAAAAGTGTACTTCAGTCGATATCTTTACCAACCCCATCTGAGTTATAATCTAATAGTGTGTTAATTTGGTGAGTCGTTATAACTCATTGTCCGTTCGCTTTTAAATCAATATACACGAGCAACATGAGTAAATAACCAATGAAATTGTTAATGTAAAGTGCTGATTTATCACGTTCAGCACTGAAGGAAAACATCGTGAACATTTTCAAAGTAATAACAAAAATAAATATTTCTAAGTTCGAAGGCATGTAAAGTCCGCCAACACGTGGTGAACTATGCCCTATTGTGTTCATTCATTAGGCAACCAATAATAGACCTATATTTTAATTCAATTGAAATAATTTCATAACGAAATTTGTTACAAGTCTATTTTACGCTTATCTGTCAAGTTGGCATTGACATGTTCACACAAGCGCACATATGTGAAACACGTAATCCATCAGTTTGGTAACACCAAACAGAATTAGATCAATGACTGTGTAATAACAAACGCACCAAAGTGTCCCGTCGAACCGGCTCCTCGTTGAGTACATACCACCAATTTTTCGATCATACTCGTGTCAAAGCTATTGCTATACCGCCATTAATAATTATGATTTGACAGCGGCCTAGATATAACGCGGCTCACTTATTATTTACGCACATTCTCCTTTACCAGCCATTTATATTTGAATCGCCATGCATGACTTTTTTACATTAAGACTATTTTGATTCTTAAACTAATTCGTTTTTCTGGTTGATTTGATAAGTTGGTTCTCAAACTAATAATAGAAGACGAGAACCGGAAAAACCCACGGAGCTGACTCCCGTGGATGTGAACTCTGTAAAGGGTTGAAATGTAGAGGAATTTAGAATCAAATAAAACGCTATTAAATCCGTAAAATAGTTTCGTTTAACCGTAATAAGAGAACGTGGTACACGAGCAAGGTGTACTCGTAATGCTAAGTGATTATCGTTGCCTATTGACATAAAAAGGTTTACTATCGGTTTGCTTATGCGTTGCCAAATTTTAAGTTAAGCCTCGGGTTCCCCTAACTAACAGTTATTCTATATGTAAAGTAAAGTAAAAGTAATATAACATCCTATAGGTACATGTCCTACTGCTGGGCAAAGGCCCCCTCTCAAAGGGTATCAGGGCATTGTTTACTACGCAGCCCCACTGCAGATGATGGCGGGCTTAAAATATTTTCGAAATGATTTTCTTATCATTTCGAAAATATGCAAGTTTCCTTACGATGTTTTTCTTTGCTGAGCACGTGATAATTCGCTTAAAATTAACAATTTCATTAGTGAAATAAAGGCGAGCGCCCGGACACACAGTTATTACGCTATCTATATGCAAAACTATGATAAATTCCACATCACGCTAGTCGTTCGTAAGGGTTGGTACTTTTCCGGACGCACCAGCTATTGGCGTGGAGCTATGGAGTAGCAGAAGCCACTACATGGTTTTAACGTTGTATTTCTTATATTGTCATTTTCTTGTAGATACACTATGGTCATTTTATTGTAGAAAAAAAATCTTATTATTAATGTACACAGTAAAATAACCATAAGTAACAAGTCATTTTTTTATTAACGAAAAACAAAACCGACTTCAATTATATCGCTCTGTATTCATTTTATAATTGATTTTCAAGAGTTCCTAAGATCCAATACCAATGAAATTATATGGGACCACATGGGAAGCACCAGCTTTCAAATAAAAAAAGAACTACCACAATCAGGTTCACTCAGTAGAAAGTTCTGAGGGAACAAACATAAAAAAATACAGTCGATTTGAGAACGTCTTTCTTTTTTTTTTTGTCGGTTGAAAATAATATAATAGTGCGGAAATTCCTATTCATTGGTGCTTACAAAAATGCAAATTTGTTTGTATTTCCAAGTTCATTTCGAAGATCGAATTTGTCGTCCAATGTACAATGTACTACGATACGTGCATTGAGAAAACAGTACTAAGAAATTTCATTGAGTAGCAGCTTGCCGCGACTCTGAACGTGTCGTGAGCAGGTCGGTCGACCACACCCAGCGTATTCGGGTCAAGGGCCCGGACCGCTTTTGATCTCGTCGCCAAAAAATTAAGCACCGACGCACGAATTAATCACTGCGGCGTTATTAACGAGCACTCCGTGAGTTCGGTAGACGTATACCTTGTTTTTATAATCGTTCTTTGTTTTTAGGGTTCCGTACGCAAAGGATAAACCGAGACCCTATTACTAAGACTTCATTGTTTGTCTGTCCGTCTGTCACCAGGCCGTATCTCGTGAACCGTAATAGTTAGAGAGTTGAAATTTTCACGGATGAATGTATTCCTCTTGCCGCTATAACAAGAAATGTTAAAAAACATTAAAAATATTTTAGGTGGGGCTCCCATACAACAGAGATTTTTTTAATTATAATGCTAATGGCACGGAACCCTTCGCGCGCGAGTCATGCTCGTATTTTGCCGGTTTTTTAAACCAGTAGCCTTCGCGACTTTTAATCATCACGGGGTAGGAAAAGAGAGCTTATGCTACATTCATTATCGTTTGAAGAGATGATTTTTGAAGGAGTGAAATCAGGCGCACGCAACGCTCAATAACTCAAAAGAAGACTATAAAGTTTTAAAAGCAAGTTTATTAAACAGCTGATTAAGCTTCGTACTTACTAGAATACTCACAATTTCATGCGAGTTTGCTGCTTTCTGTTAAATACGTATTTGAAATAAATACCAAATTAATACGCCTACACAATTTATTGCACATGTGTTGAAAATGATTTTACTCGTAACCAGTTGTTGAATTACAAGCAGGTTGAGGTCAATAGCGACATGAGTCGCATTACTGGAATTCATGGACTCCATCTTTAATAAGAATCAATGTAATACAATTTATATGAATAATAAGAATTGATGTTGTGTTTAACTTTATCATTAAAGAAATAGGCTAATTAATTATTTATTTGTTTCCTCATAGGCTGGCTCCGAATTTTCTCTTTAGATGGTAAGAAATTCAAATAAATCCAGCGTATTTTATTTTATAATCTTAATTTTATATGAATTTTTTTTAAACATTTCCCTTACTGAAAGATAACATTATCCTGTGTTGTATGAACGATTTATTTCTTCAAAATTCAGTAATTACGATGAACTTACAAATAGTAAAGAAATTGATCGCACCTTTATTTGCATACAATTGAAGGTCCCTATTTAATAAACCACTATGTATTGTTATGTCTTTGTACGTTTTTATACGTTTTAAGCCTTAATTTTATTTTTCAATTGGGTAGCAAATAACATTCAAAGTTGAAAATATAGTTCACTCTATATAATTAAAATAAAATTTGATTACTTTTATTTATTTATTTCAAATAAAAAATCGGAAAACAAAATTACACGTCATAAATGAAATTGTCTGTAAGCTAGGAATTAGAGACATAAGAATAGACGTGTTTAAAATCAACAGCCGATTTAGAAAATTGATGAGCAATGCGCATTTTGTATTCTTTTCTTTTGACAGTATGTTAATACATTTAACAAACTAACAGGATGTGGCAAAGTTTGGCCGAAAAATTGCAATGACTACTGTTACTTACGAAAGTTTTTGCGTTTAACACGTTTCTGAAATTCGGCTATTGATGAGGCATAATCGTTAAAAATGCGCAATCATGATGTGTTTAATCTGTTGAATTGTGCTTCGAAATATATAATAACTTGTGTGCAATGCCTTTTTTAATGTCAAATTCCGCGCATAATGTCGAGATGTGTGAACGCACGAAACATATGCACGCACGAAACGCAATTAAGTCAGAGATACTGTGACAAGTTCAATATGTCGGCTGTAAATATCCTGTTCTGTGATGACGACACTCGCCTGGCGCGTTAGTCGATCGATTTCCACCGACAATGCCAAAAGTTATACAAGTAATGATTTCTTTTTATGCGCATAATACACTTTGATGAATTGATTATAAATTGAAAATGTATATCTGATGAATGGTGAATATACATTTTACGGATGTGTGTAATCACACGTAAATTCAATTTTTAATATAATAGGGTAAATGTAGTCAATTGATAATTTATTGGTTTTTATATTTAATGCGTAACATAAAAACGTGTCAACTTTACGAGTAGCACTTACTAGAAAAACTTTTTTTCTTTACATATTGGTTTGACTTAAGATAACGGTTTTTGGGTGCTTCTTTAACTACGTTACTGTTAACTACTAATTTTACCTAAATATACAGCGCATTTTAAATGTGATTGTGTAGATGTACCTATCATAACTTGAATCTATAATATATAGAATATGAGCCAACAGTATCAAAGTAACGGACAAAGTGGGACGAATATCTATAATTAGATGAAACCTCTAGCGAGCTTTTGTCGCTGCTTCGCATAAACACGCTGACATCAGGCCAAATCAAGAAAGAAAAAGAAGAAGGCCTGCTAATTCAAGGTCTATTCAGCTATCAGAACAGTTAATCATTATTGCTCATATATTAAAATGACTTAGTTTGACGGCCGTGGGTTCAAATGGTTCCCTAGTTCAAATCCCATTAGTGTGTACGAAATAATCAGTATTTTAGATTTTTAAGCTTTGGCAAACGTGAAGTCTCAATTTCTCAAGGCCAGTCCGTCAAATTTTTTTTATTCAATGTAGCCTTATTTTAAGTACTTATTGAAGGTCGAAAAAACAACTATTGATTCATTAAACTAGAGCTGACCAGAGAAGAAGCGGCAAGAAACTCTACGGTCTTTTTATGTTGATTTCTGTGGTAGGCCTTTGTAAAAAGACTTGTTGCGCACAAGTCTTTTCATTGTCAATGTCATTATCATTATATAGTCCGTATAAAAGATTGTTATTCCATAACGACGACATGGCTACACGGATTTGTATTAAATTTTGAATTGACTAGGCTAAGTTGTTGATGAAACTAAGGCGACTTAAACATTTATCTCTAAAATGAGCCACGTAAGTTAAATTCTACTTAGTTACTTACGTTACTGTAGCCATTATTATGATATTCAACCTAACTAACTGTAGGACCGCGCAACAGTCTTCGCTGTTGCCATACCATGACGTCACAGAACAGTGCGATTAAACACTCTATTAAAAGGTGGCAACGTGGTAGTTACAGAAACTATACAAGTGTGGCAAATGTCAATGGGCGGCGGTTATCACTTAACATCCGGTGAAGCACCAACTCGCTTACCACCTTCTCACATCGAAGAAAACATTCACGCGCGATTTCTGTAACACTGATCATCGTAGAAGCTAACTAATCAACTGTCAAATGCCTTTTCAAATTAACCATCATTTTGGCAACTCAAATGACATTTGGAAACCCATTTCACAGCTGATTAGTTATTTCGTACGATGATCGGCGTTTCAGAAACCGGGCGTAAATGTAGCAGTTCGTCTGACAATAACGTTACATGTGTCAACCTAAAAGCTCTCGTGCAATGCCGCTCCGAAGTCAACCTTCAACTCACAGCCCGTGTAATTGCATGACCCGCGGCGATCCGTGTGTCCCGGGCGTTTCTCGACACAGATACAGTATAAAAAGTGTCGCAGCTCGCGAATTATTATAGTTCAACGTCGACGACCCAAGAAACAACAATGGCAGCTAAGGTAAAGAACAATTCTCATTCGATTATTTAATCTTGTGCAAATGTCATCGGGTAAACGAAAGTTAAAATTTAAGCTATAGGTACTATTCAATTACAGTGTAGAGCTATTTCCTGCATACAATTTTAAAACCTTGATTTTTGCCTTTACTTACTCGTAAACTCATTGAATCAAGGATCATACTTTATTTCAAATATTGTGTATTTACATTATTGTAAGGTTAAAGTGTTGGCGTACCTACTTGTTTTAATGAATAAATTTCGATGTCGCATAAATCTAATACCCTTTCCATAAACTATGTTTTGTACCTTAATAATGTAATATAAACACATTATATCAAAACTTTACTTACAACGTTTTGGTCGTGACACCGGAACATCTACTAACGATCTGTGATGACTGCTTTAAAATAAGTGATGGGCGGAAACAGATTACGTAAAATCACCATCTCCAACTGACTCCTGCCCAATGATGTCTACTCATCATCACCTTTCATGTTCGAAACTTAATAGACTTGATGAAAGTTACAGCAATAGCAACAGCTGAACCACACTTGTATCCATACGTAAGTAGGCAAAAGTTTGTTAAATCCGACAATAAATCTACGGGTTTTGCATACTGCTACTCGCGATCGAAAATCTCGAACAACTAGGGAAGCACTTGTCATTAAAACGGCATGTTGTTCCAGTTCTTCGCTATCCTCTCGCTGGCGGTCGCGGCATCCGCCCTGCCGGTGGTGCCAGTCGCACAAGGTCGCTTACGCAGAGCCCGAAGCGCCCGCCCACTACGACTTCAGCTACTCCGTCCACGACACCCAGAGCGGCGACATAAAACAGCAAAGCGAGCAACGCGCCGGCGACTCACTGCAGGGATCTTACTCGCTGGTCCAGCCCGATGGCGTTCACCGCATCGTAGACTACACCGCTGACGAGGTGCACGGATTCAACGCTGTAGTGCGCTACGAGGGCCACCCCATCGAGGCCGCCGCGAAGGTCGCCTACGCTCACGCCCCTGTCGCCTACGCGTCCGCCCCGGTCTCCTACGCCGCGCCCGTAGCCAAGCTCGCCTACGCCGCCCCAGTAGCAAAGGTCGCCTACGCCGCCCCCGTAGCTAAGCTTTCTTACGCCGCCCCCGTCGCGAAAGTCGCGTACTCCGCTCCCCTCTCCCAGGTCACCTTCTCTTCTCCCGCCATCTCCTACCACCACTAGATAGTTTGATTAATCGTTGACGTTGTTCTAATTGTTGGTACTGTTTAACTAATAAATTATTTATTGACATTTGAACGCTGTCTTTTTCTTTTAAATCCGTTTATATCGAAAGTGTTTTTAAACAAAAACATTCCGGTTAAATGATGCTTTACTTTTATTGGCGTTACAAGTTAACCCTAGAATAAAAACATTAACATTCAACGCATGATCATAGGTTGCTTTGTATGATATCTTTCGTTTTGCTTGACGTATTATTTGTACGCATGAATAGACCATAACATACATATAAAAAACCCTCAGTACAAAGCAGCCGCGATCATTGGAGGTGGCAAAGGAACTACCTACACGCAAATGGCGATCCAACAACCAGATATACCACTCAGTCACTTCACGGCACCCATTGTGCCATCACAAAGTACACACCGCATCATGTACAGCAAATATCGATAACACAATTTCGCCGCCGTATATATTTTCGACTGTACGTCCAGCGCGTCCTGGGGGTTTGAGGTGGGGGGATGTGCCCGTGGACCGCAGCTGAATTATTCATAGGCCGCATAGTGATTTCATCTCATTGAATCGAGCTAGTGGCTGCGCCGTGATTACGAAAGCGATACCTCCGTCAGTAGCGTACGGCCGCTTCCGTACAATGACCCCATTACGCGACACGCCACAATTACCGTAAGGACGCCGTGCAGATATCACATTCGAGAATATATTCCCGACACTACCTACCACTACTACTGCCACATTTCCATAGTTTTGTCGACTGTGGAAATGGTTGGTTTTGAAATTTTCACTTCGCTCGTTTTCTCGTTTACTTTAGTGTAATTCGGATCTCCTTAAGTTTTCTCTAGTGGACCTCTTTCATCCTCTGTTTTTATAGCGTTCCGTGCCCAAAGGATAAAACGGGACCCTATTACTAAAGACTCCCCCGTCTGTCCGTCTGTCATCAGGCTGTATCTCATGCACCGTGATAGTTTTAAAATTTTCACAGATCATGTATTTTTGTTGCCGCTTTAACAAAACAGAATAAAAAATATTGAAGGGGAGCTCACATACAACAGATATAATTTTTTTTGCCATTCTTATCGATAATGGTACGGAGTCCTTCGTGGGCGAGTCCGACTCGCACTTATTTATAAAACATTGATCTTGCTGAAAGATGACATTATCCAGTGTTGAAAGAACAACCCCAAGGTTGACTGGGGGACACAGACAAGGGGGACTGGGGACTGAATATAAATTTCATGTGGACAAAAAACCAGAACCGAAACAATTATCTGAGGGTAACACAAATAGTTTCCCGTGTGGGCATCGAATCCACGACCCCCAGCTTCGAAGCCAGTGCCTTGGCATCTACGACGCGGATTTCAGATCACACAGTCCCTTCCCCTCCGGACCTATTCTAAAATTTTGTTTCAATAAAAATTTTTAAACATTTAAAATTTTAAACATTTAAATTTTATACATTAAAATCTTGGTAGGTAAATGCCGTTACAGTTTTTAAACTGACTTTAGTCAGGTCACTATTTGTTGTACTTTTAATTTACAGTTATAATATTAATTTACATAACGATTTGTTTGCCCATTTTTAAAAGATTCTGATCGATTATATCTGTACCTCAGAGGTAAACAGCATTATGCGACAGAACACAAATTTTACATGAGAGGCAAAAATGCGTGGAGTGTATCATTGTATCATTATTGATTATGGTGTCATATACGATTGGATATTTTATTAAGTCTGGGTAAGACTTGCGTGACGTGCAAGTGTGGCAACGCATCTACAACCTTACGGGTGTCTCAAATGTCAACGGGCGGCGGTTATCACTTAACATCAGATGAACAGCCAGCTCGTTTGCCACCCTCCCAAATAAAAATAAAATACATCACAAACTTACATTATCGAACGCATCGCAAATAATCGTCCAAAGCTTACGCGAAAGCTACATCGACGAGCTTTTAGACCTTTCGCGTGACGCCCCATCCGCGCCCAGCGCACGCTGCGGCAGGTGAAAAAATTGAGAGAGATTGCTTTTTATCAGTGCACCGGCGGCAAATTGAATGTAAAGTTGATTTCCCAGCGGACACGGCCGCATAATTCTCCGCAAATTAAGCCGATACCGATTGACTTGCTGCCGGTAAATATTTTGCAAAATGATTTCCATTACGTCGCATTCGGATTTTCATCAATACCGCCGTGAGTGCGCGTAGGTTTTTGAAGTTGAATTGGCTTTGTGTCAAACAGGTCAATTGATGCTCACTTATATTAAAAGGTTGTCTGGAATGAGAATAGTCCTCATCTTCCTTTTGTAGAATGTTTTACATACTTGCTATTATAGCAGACGGTATTATAAAATGATTGCATTAAAACACGATTATCATTCAAATCTCGCTAAATACACTTTATGAACGGTCTCGTTGTTATTGATATTATTGATGATTTTGATATTATTTTTTGTTGTAAACGTTAATTGTAAAATATTATGTCCTTTCATTACTATAATATAATGTAAAACGTGTACATTATATAAGATTATGTCAAAACTCACAAAAAAATGTATTCCATGTATAATCGTCACTTGTCTTATAAAACAGAATGTATTTTAAGAAACAAATAATTATTGTGTTATCTTTTCATCGGGACGGGGACCAAACTTAAATTATTAACTGATTTACACCTTATATAGGTACACATCTAGGTATATGCCTGTTTCTTTCGACTTTCTTTAAAGCGCTGTATGCATTAAAAATAGGTTTTTCAAAAGATTTTTTAGCAAAATCTACACAATTTATAGCAGCAAAAAATATATATGTTAATCTTGATCGTACATTCTAATGGAATATTGTTTCCAAAACATATTTTCGATATATTTTCTCGATAGAAAAAAATCATGAAACTACCTCTAAAAGAGAAATTCAAATCCAAAAATGAACGTAATACATCAACAAGTCTTAATGAAATTAATATCAGTGGTGTAGAATATATTAATAAAAAGGATTGTTGTTTTAATTTGTTGATTGATGTAAGATATTTGTAAATATAAATTTAATTCATTAAAATTTATTCGAACGCGATGGCCAAAACACCACGCCACCGCGGCGTTGTTTCGGCTCTCTTCCAATCCCACACGTTGAACAGAGAGCGCTGAGGCGCCTTGCTAGATGGATCTTTGCCGCTCATCGCCCGCTCACCGTTACGAAATATGTTTCGTATTTATTTATTATTGACAGTTTTAATATTATTAGGCCTTCCAAAACACGAAACTAAAAAATATATATTCACATATTTCGTATTTATAAGTTATTTGTATGTATTAACAGTTGTTAATTAATTTTTTATTTAAAGCGTAATTTCATTGGCTTATCTCGTGATTGGTCTATCAGTCCTATACATACAGTGTATAGGTAGGACCATCATTCTTTATGGATTGGGTTCAAATCCCTAAATTTTTTGTTGTACTTATTGTTGATTTTCTTATTTGGAAATATTTCCTAATTACCATTTAATTTTTGTTGATTTTTAATTTTCATAAATAATTACAACGAAATATTATTGTATTTGTTCAAAGTTGAAACAGTTGGAGATTAATCTATCAGTAAATAAACCAACTTTTAGTATTAAAATTTTTTAACGTCATCTGTTTTTTTATTGAAATATTTAATTTTTCACCCTAAAACGAAAATTTATCTTTTACACGAAAAATAATTGTTTTATAATTTTTCTTATTAATTTGTTTATTTCCCAAATTGAGCCATTTTATAAAATTAATACAAAATAATTTGTTTGCTAACAAATTAAAAGTGAAAATAATATGCAACAGGCTACGCGAGGTCTGTGCAGTGACAAAATTTCGAGATTTTATCGATAGTATTTTAAGTTTCACTTTAGTTGAGAAAGTAATATAACATAGTAAATATTGAACATTTAAAGGATAAATTAAAATTCCTAATATATAAAAAAATGTAATAAAAAAGTTGTATTCGTAATTTCTGCAAAAATTTTATGAGCCATTTCTTTAAAATAACAATATAAACCATGAAGACAAAAAATAATAATTATAAGTAATTTGTCTTTATTAATTTATTTGACTTTAAGATGTATTTTTAATCAATTCCTTTTCTATTTAGTTAAAAAAATAATAAACAGGATTTTCTAAAATTGTTGATTGCTTTCTCATACTTTATATTTGATTGTTTATAACTATTCCTATTATAATATAAAAGTAAAATACAATCATGGTCTATAAAAGATATTATAGTGATCATCTATGTACATTTTCGAAAGCTTTCCATGATACTATCGATAGTATCCTACGGACCGTCACTACATACACACACTAGGTAAAGAAAGACTTGGACTAGCGGCGCGTCGACGAAACTCGCGCGCTGCGCGCCGCTAAGCGGCGTTACCCCTCCTCCGCCTTAAATAATTCTAATTTTTACATTAGATATAGATACTATGTTTTATTGATTTATGGCCGGCAATAAAACATTACTAATGTTATTATAAATGAAAATACAATTTAAACTACGGTCTTACAAGTCGATCATTATCAATCAGTGAACAGTCGTTCATTAACTCACTGGGACACTTATGACGTTCTCAGCGGTGAAGGAAAACATCGTGAGAAAACGTAATAACAAAAAAATGTTTAGAAGATATATGAAGTCCGCAAAACCGCAGTGGCGCCACGTGGTGGACTATGCCCTGCGCAGTGAGATATGTATAGGCTGTTACTTTACTTACTACATCATCACTATATGTTATAAAAAAGTACTTCACAACAAATTAACAGATACAAAATGTATTTTTTCATATATCCACGGCTCTATTTCCGTCTACCTCATCAAAATAAGCTTTTAAGCGTTTGGAAACATTTTAAATATAAGAAAAAATAATATTAACTATCTGTGCGACATGGCTGCCCAATGCAAGCTTAAAAACTTAAATCGCAGTAAAACTTTTGCAGTATTCAAATGTTAAGGAAAACGAGATGCGTGTCAGTGACCTTTGAATAACGAAAGAAATCTGGTTTCGATTCGCGATTTAAGAAATGCAACATATACATAAAAAACATATCGTTCGGCACTGCAATGCCCTTCGAATCTCCCGAATGCATTAATTATTCATAAAATTTATCAGTTTATTACAGTTACATAATATTACTTATAAGGTAAGTTCTTAAACTATAACCTTCTTCGTGACTACTGAATGACCTTTCTCATTTCATATTTTAAATTTGTACCGATTAAACTTGTTTCTTAAAGGTAGGACATACATTCAATGAGTACTATAGGTTAGTACATATCAATGCTTTAAATGGTATAATTTTTAGCTGTTATTAAAAATCAATATTAGTTTTTGGTGATATGTTTTGAGACAATTTTTTAATCAATAATTTTCTTAAGCTTGTCATAATTAAACTTCACTTTCCCAATAATCCAGTCCAAATTAGTTAAAATATATCTCCAAACTTGGACTTAAAGGCACTTTTGTTCTATTTTAATAGTATTATTTAAGTTATAAAAATGTGCTTCAATGTATTTCCCGCATATTTTACAACACAAATAAGAAAAAAAATATCAAAACAACATAACTAAAGATTTGAAATCCTCAATTGAAATCTTTTTATTTTTTTCTAGTATTCAAAGATACTTTTTTATTAATCTGTAAACTGACGTTCTCTCTACTTTGGTTCCGTGTTGCGAAATAGCACCGGATTACCGAAGCTTATTCGAGAATATCCGATACAGACGGTCACAGCAAAATCCTCTTACCGCCGAAAATTAATCAACGGTCCTGGCGGGCGGGCGGCTTAATACAGGGAACGGTGGATAAGGGTCGGTAAGTACCGGGAAAAGTAAAGTAAGTAAAGTATCGGGAAATATAACCATTAGAAGCATTTAAACTTGGTTTCAATCGACTTTTTAAAGGAAATCAAAGAAAGTTTTTTATTCCTAGTCAAGCAGATAAGAGAATACGGAAATTATTATGATCTATCGTTGATATAGAGAATTGATTCAGTTAGCCACCCATCAAACGTATAAGTCTAGTCGTTCAAGCGTAAAAATTTGCCATCGGTTTACAAATTTTAACCCATTAAGAGAAAAGAAAACGCAAACAAATATGTGATCAAATATATCTCTTTCTTTTATTAAATATATCTTTTCATATCTGGGTATTCTATCAATAGAAAAGTTTATGATGATGATTTGTTAAATGAATACCGCCGCCGCATCTACAACGCGCGATGGCTTGCTTGTGCATTAACAACCTTTGAAAATGTAGGCCCCTATTGCCTCACTTACAGTGCCGGATTAACGACGTAGCAAGACAAGACTCTACTTTCTTTATTTCATTTTTATAAATGCTTGGCGCCATCTAGTGTGATTACTTTACGGCATAAAAAGTATGTAAACAATTTATCTACAAAAAATTCTTCTTATATATAAAAATGTATTGCTGTTCGTTAGTCTCGCTAAAAATCGAGAACGGCTAGACCGATTTGGCTAATTTTGGTTTTGATATATTCACTTGGAAGTCCAGGGAAGGTTTAAAGCTTTAAACGATGAGAAATTATGGAAAAATTGCATGGAAAATCGAAATAACAACAATTTTATTTTCCCATACAAACTGAACCTGTCTATCTGTCAAACGATTTTTGAACGCATTCCGATTCCTTCATATTTTGAACGCATTCCTGCAAAACAACGTCAGCTAGCAAAAAATAAAATTAATCATAAATAAGGTATAGACATCGGTTAACGGTTCTACGAGCTCTATGGCCGGCCCGTTGCCTCTTCAGCTTATTCATCTTCTGAGCTATGTCGATTACCTTTGTTGGGCTGCGTAAATCTTTATTACGAACTCTATTATGGGGATGAAAGGACTAGGACTCTATTATGGCCAATGAGGCCTCTTATTGGCCATTGCACTGTAGGACGACTCCGCACTAAATGGAGTGACGACAAGTGCAAATATTTTGGTTGTCGACGTATGCAGGTGGATTAGGATCGTATTTCGTGACACTCTGTGGGAGTAGACTATGTTCAACCGTGGACTAGAATGACTGAGAAGACTGAAATGGTGATGATGATGATGAAGGTATACATATTAGTGTCATTATAATGATTCGTTTGTTATCAATTTTCAATGCGATCTTCGATCCTTCCAAAAAATATTCCTTTTACGAAGGGGTAAGGGTTTCTAGATTCGTCAATATTTTACCACGACAGACCTGAATTACGCCATTAACCGCCATCCTCAGAAATATCATTATTACACTATCCTAGTTATTTTTTTAAAAGCCTTTATGGCTGAAGTTCGCAAATTACTAAATCAATATACGCCTCGTTTTACGACCGTATGTTTAAGATCTCAACATTTCGTTTCTACATCTTATGTGTAAAAAAAAAAACTGCGCACAATGTGGGTAAACATATATTTTACCACAAGCGAGTACATTTTACTTCTTCGATTGCTTCGGCGGCACTGGGCATTCGTAAATGTTTATGCACTTGTCTTTGGACACTGACACAAGCCGGACGCCCGCAGGGTTGAACTGGACCTCGCAGACCTGAAACACTCAGACAGTCAAATATCACAGGAGCGAAATCCTTGTCCTTGCTTCCTTACTAATATTATAAACGCGAAGGTTTGTGTGTATGGATGGATGTTCGTTACTCTTTCATGCAAAAACTACTGAATAGATTTTAATAAAATTTTACAATAATATAGCTTATACATCAGGGGAGCTAGGGGACATCCTTCATCTCTGAACCCCAAGCCAACCTCACCTGCACGCGGTGCTCCCTCCTAAACAACAAACGAGGCTCTGGCGAAACCGAATCTAATTACCCAGGCCGGCGGCGGGCAGCAGCGTCGTCAGCGCGAGACTCGGCCCTGCGCTCACCAAGCCGCCTGCCCAGCGTGGTGAGTATGGGCACAATCCCCCAATGATTAGCGCCACAAACAAACGGCCCCCAGTTCCCGGTAGCCTTACTATTCCAGGTCACGGCAGCGGCTTCGGTCCACGGTAGGGGGGGTGCTAGGAATCTCCGGGCTACGGATGGCTGCCACAAACTGACCCTGGCGACGTATAACGGACGCAGTCTACGGCTGGACGAAAACCTAGAGCAATTGGAGGCAGAATTAGGAAATATAAGGTGGCACGTACTGGGGCTGTCTGAAGTCCGAAGACAGGGGGAGGACTCGAAGACCCTAGAATCCGGCCACCTATTCTACTTCCGTGAGGGCGACAAACAGTCTCAGGGTGGCGTAGGTTTCCTTGTCAACAAGAGTCTCCGTGACAACGTGTTGGAGGTGTCCAGTGTGTCGACCCGGGTAGCGTACCTCGTACTGAAGCTGACCGAAAGGTATTCCCTCAAAGTCGTACAGGTATATGCGCCAACATCAATACACTTGGATACAGTAGTCGAGGCAATGTTTGAAGATATCGCTAAGGCCATGAATAATACCACCAAGACCCACTTCACCGTTGTCATGGGAGACTTCAACGCCAAAGTGGGAGTGCGAGAATGCGAGGAACAGTGCATCGGGCCACACGGTGTTGGAATCAGAAACCAAAGGGGTGAAATGCTGGTCAACTTCCTGGACATGCAGGGACTGTTCTGTATGAACACATTTTTCAAGAAGAAACCCCATAGGAAGTGGACTTGGCGAAGCCCCGATGGTACGACGAGCAACGAGATTGATTTCATCTTGACAGATAAGAAGCGCATATTTAGGGATGTCTCTGTGGTCAATCGGCTTAATACCGGCAGCAGCGACCACCGACTTGTACGAGGCACCTTAAATATTGACTTTAGAGTCGAAAGGAGTCGTATGGTGAGATCCGTTCTTCGTCCAACACTGAATCAAACCGCACTTGGCTCTGAAGCGTTCCAGTTGGAACTGCAAGATCGCCTCGCCGCGCTGGAAACCACGGCAGATGTTGACAAGGACCTCGAAAATGTGTCCAGGGTAGTTCGCGAAGTAAGAACCTACTTCAAAGCTAAGTGAGGCAGCCGAGAGTGTAAATTGTCGGCGGGAACTCTGGAACTGATGAGGATCCGCCGTGAGCTGCCAGAGGGAGCTTTGGTGGACACCAAGCGTCTCAACAAAAATATCCGCAAATCAGTGAGACGTGACCTCCGAAGATTCAATACGCAACTCATAAAAGAGGCGATCGAGCGAAATCGGGGGTCAAAAGTGTTTGCTAAAAGACTGGGTAGGAGCCACCTGACAAAGCTCACGACCTCGGAAGGCAAAACCGTCACATCGGTTCCAGAAATACTCGCCGAAATTGAAGACTTTTACGGCTGCCTCTACGCCTCGCATGCTTCAAAACCTCCGCCAGAAGCGAACGACCCAAGAGCCACACTGACACGCCACTTTACAGACGATCTCCCAGACGTCGACGAAGGCGAAATTGAGAGGGCTCTCAAACAGCTTAAAAATGGGAAGGCTCCCGGTGAAGATGGAATCACTTCCGAGCTTCTCAAAGCAGGCGGAACCCCACTGCTGAGAAAACTAAAGGAGATATTTAATTCCGTCATAGCAAATGGGACTACCCCGAAGGTGTGGAGTGAGAGCGTGGTGGCTTTGTTCTACAAGAAAGGTAATAATACTCTCTTGAACTATAGACCAATCGCGCTCCTAAGCCACATCTACAAGCTGTTTTCGAGAGTCCTCACAAACCGTCTCGCCGCAAGATTTGACGCCTTTCAGCCACCGGAGCAGGCTGGGTTTCGAAAAGGTTTTAGCACCGTGGACCACATTCACACAGTGAGACAGGTTATACAGAAGACACAAGAGTATAATCAGCCGCTGTGTCTAGCATTTGTGGACTACGAAAAAGCCTTCGACTCCATCAAAACCTGGGCCGTTCTGGAATCCTTGCAGCGATGCCAAGTCGACTGGCGGTACGTGGAGGTGCTGAGAAGCCTGTACAGCACGGCGACGATGTCCGTCCAAGTACAAAACCAAAAGACTAAACCCATCCAGCTGCTCAGAGGAGTGAGACAGGGAGATGTCATCTCTCCGAAACTGTTCTCTAACGCACTGGAGGATGTTTTCAAAACCTTGGACTGGAACGGATTGGGCATCAACATCAATGGCCAATATCTCAACCACCTCCGCTTTGCCAACGACATTATTTTAATGGCAGAATCGATGCAGGATTTGAAAATCATGCTGCAAAGCTTGGATGCTGCCTCATCATCGGTCGGTCTCAGGATGAACTTGGACAAGACTAAGGTCATGTTCAACGACTTTATAAGTCCAGAGCCGATTTCGACCAACGGCGAAGCGCTCGAAGTTGTCCAAGAGTATGTTTACCTCGGGCAGACATTGCAGTTAGGTAGAGACAACTTTGAGCGTGAAATCGCTAGAAGAGTGCAGCTGGGCTGGGCAGCATTTGGAAATCTGCGTCATATCTTCTCGTCGCCACTACCACAATGCCTAAAAAGCAGGGTCTACAATCAGTGTGTCCTGCCAGTCATGACATACGGGGCCGAGACGTGGAACATGACGGTGAGGCTGGCCCACCGATTACATGTCGCTCAGCGGGCTATGGAAAGATGAATGCTCGGTATTTCGCTAAAGGATAAAATCCGAAACGAAATTATCCGGCAGAGGACCAAAGTTCTCGATATAGTCCGTAAGTGTAGCAAGCTGAAGTGGCAGTGGGCTGGCCACATCTGTCGTAAAACCGATGAGCGCTGGAGCAGACAGGTTCTCGAATGCAGCCACGTCTCGGAAAACGTAGTGTCGGACGTCCCCCTGCCAGGTGGACCGATGACCTGAGAAAGGTCGCTGGTAGTGGCTGGATGAGGAAAGCGGAAGATCGTACTCTGTGGCGTACTCTTGGGGAGGCCTATGTCCAGCAGTGGACTGCAAAAGGTTGATTGATTGATGACTGATACATCAGAATAACACATAGGCTATAATATATAGAGATATTGTGTGAATTGTCCAAAATATAGGTAATGATAAGTGTAAACTAGTAGGAAAAAATTCAGCCATCTGCGAGATATTTTTTTACATTGTTTACGAAGCTGCGGGTAATAACTAGTATAAGATAAATAAAATAAATATTTTCGGACACATTTTTTACACAACGTTCTCTATATGGATTTCTTGATTTAATGCGAATATTATACATTGTGAAATGAAACTATTTTACGGATTTTATCGCGTTTAATTAGACTTTTCAATTCCTGACGTCTTTTCCTATAACCATTAAGCCATGAACGCTGGAGAAGATAGGGTTTCATTTAACAACGGCCCCTGGTCAAACTAAGCAACGCTTGTACTATGGGTACTAGAAAACTCTATCTCCAGCCCCATAAATACATACGTCAAATGTTCCTGTAGATAGAATATCGTAACCGGCCGTTAGCGATAACCGTACGTACCATATTGGCGTGCTCTTTGAAGCTCTTCAATGTGTTCATATTGTCGAGCGATATGAAGTGAACGCAGCCGTCTGCCGTAGCTGCGGCGACACGCCTGCCCTCTTTCGAGAAACAGGCACTTAGCACCCAGGACTTGAGGTTCACTTCGCACTGGAAATTAGCACTGGCTCTGTAAAAAAAAAAGTTAAGAATTTAACTGTGGAAAAATGTTAAGAAGTTAACCAAGCATTGGCCTAAAGGTCCTTGATACCGGGCCATAAAACCCAAAAAAAAAAAAAGTTAACCAAGCAACAGAATCGGCTAATTCACGAATGGGCAGGTCCGTCCTGGTAAGTAACACGACGTCACAGAAGCATCGCGTGAAGTTTAAGTGTTACGTTTTAAACCCTACCATATGCATCGATAATACTTACGCGTTGTAAACCTTCACGTAGCCGTCGTTGGAAGCCGTGACTATTGACTGAGAGTTTTGTGAAAAGGCAACACTCCTGACGGTCTGCGCGTGCGCCTCAACAGTGTGGATCAGCTTGCCTTGGGCGACGTTGAATATGCACACTGTACCATCCACTGCGCCGCTGCATATGTATTTGCCGTCACTACTCTGTAAACGTTATTGCTTGAATCAAAACTCTTTTCAGGACTTCAAATCATGTACAGAATCATCAACAACACCATTTCAGTCTGCCAACCCCGATTTACACTGATCCAGTGTTTAGTAAAGTTGATAAGTACAGTGGTGTAAATCATCGGACAGTAGCGAGTCAACTTGGCTTGCAAGCCGTTTTGCAGCTGGACCTAAATAGATTCGGTTTCTGTTCGGTGCAAGTGCACCGCTCGCGCCCTCTTAACCCCGCGGGGCAATTGACTCGTAATGTAAACAGCCATTAGTACAGTGGCCGGCAACAGGCAACAAAATCGCGGGTACTGCTTATCCGTTTCGACAGGGAAATGCCACTGGGCTTGCTGTACTGTAAACAGCAATGGCCCGGTGCCACTGTCCAGTGTACTTGTACTCAATACGCGCCACCGTCCTTGACCAATGTAAATCAGGCTTCAGAGTCCACTGCCGAACATAGACTGCACGAAGCACGATCCTGAGCCACCTGCATCCATCTACTTCCATCACAGGAGGGGTCGCCACTCCATCTAGTGGGAGGAAGTCCTACACTAGGATGGCCAATACGAGGCTGCCACTCGGGAACCTTTTTCCCCATCGGTTATCCGTCCTTCGAGCTATATTGCCACTTCAGCTTACTAAGCCTCTGAGCTGTGTCGGTTACCTTTTTTCTACTGCGGATGTCTTCATTGCAAACTCTATCATGCAGAGTAGTACCGAACTTAGATTTTAAATTATAGATTATATCAATAGTCATCATCATCATCAGCCGCAAGATGTCCACTGTTGAACATAGGCCTTCCCCTTTGAATGCCTTTACTTATATAGATTTCTCCAGTAAGGTGCAATATGACATATTTAAATTTTATTATTAAAACATTTTTGATAGCAATTTTTACATAGTATTTTTAATATTTCATTCACTCTGGATAATGCATGTGTAACCTAATAGGTATTTTGCTTACAGCTTTGTTTTGCCGAAAGAATAATGCTTAAAATAATAATATTTTTAGTCGCAAGTTGCAATTACTTACCCAATCAACACATACAGCGAATTTGCCCCTAGTATCTAAAACTCTATCCACAATGCCCTTTTCAATTCCATAAATAAGAATTTTGCCTGAATGGCTTCCAGAAACTACCTGAGTGCCATCAGGTGAGAAAGCAACCTTCCACATGTCTGTTGCACCACTTTGTATTTCATGCACCTTATTTCCAGACACCAAATCCCATATAATTAAAGTTGAGTCTATGGATACTGTAGCCAAAGCTGTGGATACAAATATGTAAAAAAATTATTCCTAGATATTCTCCCAAGATTGCTTACAGGAATTCAAATCAGATATTGCACATTCATCTTCTTACACCTAGAGAACAATTTGTCAAAACTATTCAATAAAATAAAAATCTTTCGAAATGCAATATAATGCAATACATTCGGATACATGTTCATTTCTTCAGTGTCTATTTATATAATTGCTATACAGCTTGTCATGATTTTAAGTAGTATTTAATATACAAATACGATAGTTCTTTTTTAATCAATCTTTTAAAAATGACAGCAAGGTTATGATCATATAATAATAATAATAATAATAATAATCTTTATTTGCCATTAAACTGGGTGATTAAGAAGTTGATTTACAAAATTATTGACCTCCAAGTTCGGCCATAATATATGGCATGCAAATATGCGTTACTTTGTATTTAATAACCAGTGTTATATTTGATATAAAAAAATACAATTTATATGGATGAAATACATACAAGATTTTATAATATGTACTTTAACATGTCAATATTGATTTTATTTATGACTTAACACTATACCTACTGTGTCCATCAGGGCTGACTGCTACAGACATGACAGCCATAGCATGACCATGTAACTCATGTAGTATCTCTAGTTTATTTTTCTCTACTTGCCACACTTTCACAAGACAGTCAAGTCCTCCTGTTGCTATAAAATCTTTTTTGGGGGCTCTGAAATCATTTTATTCTGCTAATAAACCAATGCAGATGAGTTTCTTCCACATGTAAAGTATAGTAAGACAAACTCTTTTGCTTAACTGTTATGTATTTGCTTAAATGGTGTGTTATCATTTACAATAATTTAATAGCCTCTAACACACAAATGTTATAATTTTTCCTTTACAATTTTTTGTAACAGCAATTGGTAAATTTTAAATGTTTCTGGGATTTTGTTGTAAAAATGTATACATTGCCCCTTATAGTAGTATAATTTTACCCAAAACTAGTCATCATATGTCTAGTTTTGGGTAAAATTAATTTATTTTGTTAAAAATTAATCACCAATTGGTCTATTAGTTTATAGCAATCCGCTGTGGGGCTGCGTGGTGGACTATGGCCTGATACCCTCTGTACAGAGAAGGCCTTTGCCCAGCAGTTGGGCTTTTTTTTAATTAATATTTACACATTTTTTTAATTTGTTCCTTACTTTGGATCACTAGAAGTACTTGCTTGTGTCCAAGCGCAACTATAAATTGGATCTTCATGGGCATTTTCTCTTTTAATATACAATGAGTACTGAAAAAATTCAGAAAAAGAACTATTTTTCAAAAAATTCAACAAAACCAATCATGAATTAGCAACAAAATGAATTTACCACAGCCTCAGAAGGCATTTTGATCGGTACAGTTTACTTATTAAAAACAAGGATCACTTTTTTATTATTTACTAATTTGTTAACATGTGTTTCTGACAGTAAGTGAAATCTGATCTTGATAATTAGATTTTATATTTGATTATATTTTTTTTATCTAGTTTACAGAGTAAATTTATAGTACTAGGGGGATATAGTTTAACAGGTTAGGATTTCTTCACACAGCCTATTCGTCACTACAGGTTCATTGTAAATTACTTTGTTTGATTGTTTGTGATTTTAAAAGTCAATTAGGCTTTGAAACTTTAATAATAAATTTTAAATAAAAACAAAACATACAATTTGGAAATCCATAAAGACTTTACTTATTCAAGCTCCCAGAGGGATTTTTACAGCAATGGGTTCTCGTCGTTAAGAGTGTTTTGTCCCAAAACCAGGATATGTTATTGACCATTTTTGTTAAAATCTTGATTGGTGATAATGATAGCACATTTTGTTGTCATAGTTATCAGAGAAGATAAGAATGATAATAAAGAATTTCTGTATTGTATTGAGGGAACTGAACATGTCATTGTGTTTACAAATATTTTTATTTAGATTCAGTTTCGAAGCTTTAAAATTTATATATATAGTATGTTTGACAGCGCGTCTTATTCACTATCCTGCCAGACAGTCCGCTATCCAGGACTGCGTGGCAGGATGTAGCTTACACAAGGAGCCCATTCAGAATCCTGCCTGAAAGTTCGTCGTTTTAGGCAGGATTGTAAATGTTATCGCAGTCTGCGTATGTATCCCATAACACCGAGCAGGTTAACTTTGCATTCTGCAAGGGAGCTACAAGCTCCAGCCACCGCTAGCAGTCCGCCACGCAGGCGTGCCAATGGTTTAGCAACCTCCTTAGCGGATCGCCGTGTATACGTACCGTCAATTAATAGAATGGACCGAAAATAGTTAAAAACCTCTACGACACTTGTGCTTGCGGTGCATGAAACAACGTTGATATCCCGGTCGCCAGCCCACGGACAACAGCAAAATATACTTACACAAAAAAAGTCATGCGAGGATAATTAGATTTATTACAACTCATCGATTGTTCATATTAATACCGCCGTTACCCCACCGTGGCACGCTCTAGTGCGACAATACCTACCGATCGAGCCAGGGTCCGGCCTCTCAGGCACCGTCGAAACGATATGCTAAACGGTCATTGAGTAACAGCCCAAGCCGTGGTCCCCTTTCTGGGGCTCTTGCACCTACTTACTCCACGGCGCGTCCACCAAAGCGACCTAAGAACTTGGTGACCTCCTAATCCGGTAACTATAATAATAGAGACAGTCCGATCTGTTACTCATAAACAAGATTTAGGCTAGTTGCCCGCAGCGCCGGGCCACCTCAATCCCAGTGGATCTGTAAAGACTTCCTAAAGGCCAACAGTGAATGATGCAATAAAATAAAAAAAATTTCACATACCTAGCAATGGCGACATCTCTCGTTCGAAATATTGTTGTAAAACGATATTCGAAATAGTTTGTATGCTGTGAATTGCAAAGGTTATAACAATAGATAGATAGACCAAGCTTTTCTTGAAATGCGAATAAACAATAGTAAGTATATAAAAGATATTTAGATTTTTGGCTGTACGGTAATCAGTCGTTACTAAGCTATAGTGGTTACAGCGTCTGGGCGCGAATCCTTATGACGTGGATTCGACTCCCGCAACGATGTAAACTTTACGTCCTGTTTTCTACAAATTTTAAAGTTTCGTCTTGAGCGCGGAGATAAGCACTATAAAAATTTAAAATAAATTTTATAATGATATATATAGACACTATTTCTTTTCTCGTTCAAGATAAAGTACCTATTAATTTAGTCGGCATTCAGTGAGGAAATGTGTTCTAAAATTCCCGACGCTGCTTATTCGTGTACGATTTTACAGTTAATATAAAAAAAGCGCAACAATTGAATTAACAATGAAGGTATAATACATTTCATACTATTGTATTTTTCTATATTATAATTATATATGAATTGGCTAAAAAGTATGATAGCACAGACTAGTAAAATAACTATGGAGTAGAGAAAACACGTTCCAAGTGAAAAAAAAAAATAATGTTCACAGAATACAGAAAGTATTCTGTGAACATTATTTTTTTTTCACATTCAGAACAGAATAAATTAAGGGAAAAAACCACTTAATTATAGTAATATATATTTATTTATTGTTACTATAATGGGCAGTCATAAATATTAATGCTCTTGTCTTCTGATACAGACACTATTTTGTTACTCTCAGCATTAAACTTAACTCCCCAAACCTGAAAATAAATATTTTATTAACAATTAGACAAATGTAGATACTTAATAAAGAGTTGATTAATAATCACACATGATTTTTCCGTAACCGGATGAGCCAAATGCTTGCATACCTGGTCATTATGCTCTTTGAACACATTTTGGCATTGCATGCTATCTAAATCCCAGACGCGAACTGTACGGTCTGAACTACCAGAAACAAAGCGTTTGCCATCTGGTGAAAATGCTACTGATAGAACCCATGAAGCATGTCCTGACAGTGTGGCGGCTAAATTGGCATGTACCCTGAAAATAATAGTATACATATAACATGTAATCAGTTTTTTTTTATTTCAATGTGATAAAGTGGCAAACGAGCTGGCGGTTCACCTGATGTTAAGTGTTAACCGCCGCCCATATTGCAACACCCATAAGGTTGCAGATGAATTGTTACCATATAATAAAGTTGGCCCTGGCTACCTCACGCACCAGACGAAACGCAGAAGTGTGACACTTCTACTTCAGCTAGTCTTTTGTGAGGTTGTGGTATTAATCTGGATGGACCTGCCCATTTGTGCAACAGTGAACACTGTTGCATGATCCTACTACAGTTGAAATGTAAGACAATAAAAAATTCTTGTATATCAATCACTTAGTCATTTTGTCACACAATTATAAGCACTACAAAATGTTTTAAATATTGATATTAAATAAAATTTGACATAGTGAAATTCATAATGAATCTATCTAACAATTTCAGTTGCTATGATAAAAAATGAACATAATTTCATTGTATTTATTTATTTATTTTCATTTAGAAAAATTTTTTTAGAAATTTTTAATATTTCACAACAAAATGGAGTAGACAAAAAGAGGAATTATTATCCACTTAACTACATTATTGCCCAATGCAAATGCAATTTACATTGATCCAGACCTGACATTGCAACTGGATTACTATTTATTGGTGCTATTTTAGATTTTGCAACTTGTAACTTACACATCATAAAGTTTCATTTGTCCATCATCAGAGGCAGTTAACAGTAACTGTGAATCGGGAGAGAAGCACAAACCCCTTATGGGCATAGCATGACCTTCTAAGGTGTGTACCAGCTTGCCTTGTGCAACATCAAATATATTAATAATACCATCTAAAGCTCCACTAGCAATGTATTTTCCATCTGGGCTCTGAAAATAAATCAAAAAAGAAATATGCTATAAAGATCATAGTTATAGCTTTTTTTTTAATTTATATATAATTTAAGGGTGGCTTTTAAGTGTATCCATTTTTTTATTAGATTCTAGACATAAATAATGTTATATAAAAAATTATATTTATTTAAAATCACTCAGAAGTAATTAATAACAATAATTGTAATTTTTCTCAAAGAGTGCGTGATTTATACGCAACTCATTTATTTTACGCCCGATCATTCATAACTAGCACGCACACAAGTTCGTGCACAGTAAAATTTTGGTATTTATGTATGACTACCGCATTGTCAACACATTCTGTTTTTTAGGGAATAGAATGTCATTTAAAAAAAAAACTATTTTCTATTTCAACGAACGATTATACTACCGAGTCTGAACCTCCTGTGTAAATTTGGGCACTTCTCAAAAAATCTCCCTGTATAGTTAGTAGTTCATAAAAGGAAATTAAAATAAATAAATAAAATAAAATATTTCAGGACATATTTTTACACAACAATATCTAGTACCAAATTATGCAAAACTGTACTATGGATACAAGAAAACCGTTAAAGATACATAGTAGTACTTTTCATTAGTAAATTAATACATATTATAGATATCTTATAGTTATATAAACATTGAGACATGAGAAAAACTTAATAATTTTCCAGTAGTGAGGATTTAACCCACACACTCAGGTGCAAGAGCATCACTATTCACTACAAACATCATTAATTTTTTTAGAAATTTTAAGGTTTTCCGGCCAAAGTTCAAGGGGTTTATTAACATAATCTTTGTAACAATCAGAAGCATAAGTTATACAGGGTGTCGTTACCATCGCGACAATAAATGAACACACGTCTAACGCTACTTGCCCATAATCATTAAAAAATATTAACGTTAAACAAAATCCATAATTAAAAAAAATATTTTTCAAACAAACTAATTAAATAAAAAAAAAAACAAAATTTGTAACATCCTATACAACTCGCGCCACAGCGTCGCATTAAAAGCCTCTCCTTCTAACAGTATGTTTTGTCTCTTTTAAATTCATTCAACCCATTCATATGCTTTGTGACCTTTACAAATGAACTTTACGTTACGCTTTTATAGGTAAGGGTGTTCTAAAATTCTTTGCATGGGAAAATTTAATAACTCTGTAAATATTGATGTTTAAAGAATTTTAAAAAGTTATCCCCTATATGTGTGTTCATTTATTGTCACGATGGTCACAACATGCTGTATAAGAAATATATTATATGAGAAATGAATCCTAATAAGGTTTTTTGATGAAATTCTTGTAATTAATATAATACTTACATAAGCCACACTAAGTGTGAATTTACCCCTTGTGTCTAAAACCTGCTCTTGCTTACCGCTCTCCACATTAAATATCAATATTTTTCCTGCATTACTTCCAGAGATAACATGTTTACCATCAGGTGAAAAGTCTAATGTCCATACATCTGTCGGACCCGCTTCCATTGTTTTTAATTTCTCCCCTGATGCTATATCCCACAATATTAAAGAAGAATCTTGTGAACTACTGGCTAGTGCTGTAAATTTTAAAACAATGAATGACATTAAATAGTTGTCATTAACAACCTGAATATTATCTTCATTAACCTTTTTTTGTTTAAAAATCATTCACATACTCTTTCCATCTGGGCTCACTGCAACAGATATAACACCAAGAGAATGACCTTCCAATTGATGCTTCATTTCTAACTTTCCATCATCTATCTGCCAGACCTTGATAATATCATCTAGTCCTCCAGTAATAATGTAGTTGTCATGGCTCTCTTGAGGACTTTCGGACTCTCTAAAATTACAACATAAAACTTGTCTTTATGCATGCCATTTACTCTTCAGTTGTCCTGGCTATTTTAAGATATAATATATTTGTTTATTGTTTTCCTTAAAAATGTTATTGAAACAATTATAAATTCTCACATTAAAACCGCGTAATATTCGATCGTTCCATATAAAATGCAAAGTACGCCAATAAAGTAACTATACATACTGTAATTGTTCATTGTTTTCGGCATTCTCGTCTACTTCTTTTGGTTTCACATTGCCGATACGGCTCCAAGCACAACACCAAATAGAATCTTCATGAGCGTTTTCTTTTTTTAATTGCAAATAGTACTAAAAAAGAAAATATAATTCATGTAAATTATACCGGTGTAGGCATTACAATTATTGTAAACCTACAAAGTATAGAAACTTACCAACGTTGTAATCGACATTACTTAAATATATTTATTTACAGTAATTAAGAGATTTCAAATCAAAACTAGTACATCTATGTATATGTATTCCAATTTTGGAATATGTTTTCCTAATTAAATGGCCTGCCTGGCCTGGTATCCCAAAATTTCCAAATTCCAAAATCGGAAATGTCAAAACCATGCTAGAAGTGGGCGATACAAATCGTATCAGATATGAAATCTAGATATTAGTACAATATCCGAATATCGCTTACTGGCTCGTTCAATATCTATGTATTTTACAATATCTGATATTTCCGAAATCTGATATACCGAATACTCGCTCGCTCACTATACCGACACGAATCGCGATATCATACGGTTTGCCACAATATCTGATTTTTAAACAGATTTCGAGAGACAAAGCGCGTGAGATACAAATACTCACTAGTTAGAGCGGGACGGCAAGTAATGAACGATATCAGATATCGAGCGACAAAGCGCGTGAGATATAAATACTCACTAGTTAGAGCGGGACGGCAAGCAATGCACGATATTAGATTTTTAAACAGATTTTGAGCGACAAAGCGCGTGAGATACAAATATTACACTAGTTAGAGCAGTACGGCAAGCAAGGCACAATATCAGATTTTTAAACAGATATTATGAATAAGTTAAGTAATTTTGAATCTTAAGATCATACTGATAAGATCCGTTTTAATTAAATACTACAACGATATTATTATATTTTGTATTGTTTTGTTTAGCCTTGAGCCGTAACGGGCGACAAAGCGCGCAGTTAAGTAATTTTGAATCTTGTTGCATTTAAATACGAATTACGATATTAACGATGTCTTTAAATTTTGTTTAGCCTTGAGCTGGATTGCATTGGTACCTAGCACGTAATAGTTAGGGATGCCAACTTACTACTTAAGAATTTTCTGCCAAAATTAAGGAAGAAAAATACAAATGGAAATGTTTTAGGAGGAAAATTTTTTGTGAATATTTTTATTAGTTAAATTTTGTGGAAAAAAATAAAAAGTACACAAAAAGAAAAATATAATTTAATAGTGCTGTGCTGCTTGGGTGGAAATCAGACCAAGGCTTATGTGCTTTGTGTGTATATTTTAAATTCTTCTGCCATAAGTTATAATGCTGAATGTATTATTTCTTACACAAATTATAAAAATATTGTCACTCATGATTGCGTGTTAAGAATATGTTAAAGTCAATTATTAAGCGATATATAAGATGTTAAAATCAATCATATTATATTACTTCAATTTCTATTTTTAATGAAATTTTTAATGTAATCAGGTAATGTTTTAATTTTACCTTAATAGTATAAAAAAATCGTGATTTAAAATTTAGTCAATTTTAGTGGGTTTTCGAATTTATTTAGAAGTATTCTTTTGGAACAGTTGGTATCACTGGTATTAAGTTTTAAATATCACGAACATTATGTATATGGAATGAATCAACTTTTAAATACGCCCTGCACAATTTATATTCCGAATGAGTATAAAATATCGTTGAAAACATTTTTATTTTATTTTTTTTTTTTTTTTTTTTTTTTTTTTTTTTTTTTTTTTTAGAATTGAAGGTGGATACGTGACCGTAAAATATCTAGATATTAAAATACATAGTTTCGAAATCTGATATTTGAAATCGAAATCTGATTCAGATACGGTACTCAGAAAAAGCGATACGACCCATCTCTAAACCATGCTCATTGAAAACATCATTCAGACATTCAAACTTGACATCATAGATAATACATGTTTATTGGAACTTAGATAACATAATTATTTGACATGCAGGTATTTTAATGTAATCTATGTTAACAATTCATTTAGTATTTACTCTGTGATCATTTCATAGTCATACATTTTTAATCTAGGATCTTGCCTTTCTGTTCGCTAGGGATGCCGAAAGTTGAAAAAAATATCGATATATCCAAAAAAAATATATTGATATATAGGTCATATTTACAATTTCAAAATAAGTATTTAGTTTAGTCTGAATCAATAATAAGTAATAGTAATTTTTAGACCAAATTCACATTATTTAAATGAATGAGATTGTTTATTAATTTTAATTAAATTTATTTTAATAATCTAAATTTCTCTGTATGTTATTTATCAAGACCTTCATTGAAAAAAAAAAAACAAACAGCTCTATTTAGTAAGATGAATCAGTTTTTTCAGCCTTGAATCGAATCAAAAAATAACTAATTAAAAACATGTAACTTTTTAAAAAAAAAACCTAAAGAATTGTTTAAAATGAAGTTAATAATGAGTCAAAAAGAAATTCGCAGCGACTTGTCCTAAAAGACAGGCTAAATTAATAGAATTTAGTAATAGTTGTTTGATTGACATGAAAATGCTGAACGATAATTTAAAGAAGTTACTTAAGTATGTGGTTAAATGATAATAATTTTAACGACGTCAAATATTTTTTATGAAAACTCGATATTATATTGAGAATTTGATTATAAATTATTGTTTACTTTATTTACATATTAAATTAAAGTAACTTTAGTTGATGCTATTAATATTTTGCATGCTATTTATAGATTAACATAATATGTTGTTCAATATTAATGATTTGCAACACGTCTACACCATGTTGTACCTAAGATATGGATAGTATAAAGTACGAAGCATCAAATTGTCGTATAAATACCATAATTATATACAAATTGCAACTGTGCATCCGCGACAGTTCTAATAATAGACCAAAGTATTTTTCCGTTCATTTTTATCTTTCACGGCTTTGAATCAGTTAGAATAAAAATATTGTTTTTGATATGATTTCGATATTCAATTTTTATATCGATATATCGGATCAAAATATATCGGCCAAAAATATCGATATATTTAAAAAAAATATCGATACATTGATATTTTTCGGCATCCCTACTGTTCTCTCTGAGAATCTGACTGTAAAAAATTCTTTCTTTTCTTTCAATTCTTTCCATTTGTTTCTATTGCTAGTAGTTAGCTTGTTGAACAATTTTTTTGATTTTAATTGAAAAACGAAGTTCATCCAATATTACTCTTAAGAGAAATATGTTGTTAAGCAGTTGATAACATAAATTGGAGGTTTCATAATTGTTTATCGCAATGGCTGTATCGAAGTCAACAAATACGTACAATCGACAAAATTGGGAAGATTCGGTATGTGTAACTGTAATTTTGATTCCTTGTATTTTTGTTTTAATATATCCGTTCGTGATAAAGGCGGTATTTTTTTTGTTTTGCAGGACTTCCCAATTTTATGTCAGACGTGTCTTGGAGATAACCCCTATATTCGTATGGTATGGTAATTTCGAATGATTAATTTTTTGTGTTTTACAAGCAATTCAATGTTTTACGTCCTAATCAACCAAGACAGGTGAAACTTCAATTTATCTTGCTTTAATATTTTTCTTTCAGACTAAAGAAAAGTATGGTAAGGAATGCAAAATATGTTGCCGTCCCTTTACTGTGTTCCGTTGGTGTCCAGGCTCAAGGATGCGTTTCAAGAAAACCGAAATCTGCCAAACATGCTCAAAGCTGAAGAATGTTTGTCAAACTTGCCTTTTGGATTTGGAATATGGATTGCCTATACAAGTGAGGGATGCAGCTCTCAAGATTCAGGATGATTTGCCGCGGAATGAAGTTAACAAAGAATATTACATCCAGAACCTTGACAGTCAAATGTCGAAATTTGATCCAACACAACCTAGTAACTCTGCATTGAAATCAAAGGGTGCTTCAGATTTGCTGCTGCGATTAGCAAGGACTGCGCCATATTATAAAAGAAATAGACCACATGTTTGTTCGTTTTGGGTGAAAGGGGAATGTAGGAGAGGAGAAGAGTGTCCTTACCGCCATGAGAAGCCAACTGATCCTGATGATCCACTTGCTGATCAAAACATTAAGGACAGGTATGCTTGTGTTATATTGACATTTCTTAATTATTTCATTTGGTATTATTGGCCACACGCAGAGTATCAAATGAGATGTGATAGGAAAATTTGTATAAATGTGATTGTTTCTCAGTTTTTGTTACTTCAAATTTACATACCTCCGAGTAAGTAGTTTCCAAGATGTTACAAGTTTCATCATTTCAGCCTATTGTTTTACTCCATTGCTGGATATAGGCCTCCACTACAGGTAGCGGGATATCTGTCTCAACATTCCATACCCTAAATACTGGGGCTAATAAAGGGCAGATGTGTTAAAAGTTTAATTTTGTTTTATGTGAAATCGTATAAGATCAAATAATATTAATTGATTATGGCCTTTAAAAGCATCTGTGAAGGAATACTTTAATATGATACAAATTATATAAAATCTGTTAAAGAACAGGTGTAAACGATAAGCTAGAATTGTAGAAAAATAGTTCTTCTATACCATAATGTTTCACTTCCCAATTTTAATTTGAAAAACTAAAGTTTTAGACATTATTGGATAGTTTTTTGTTAATTAATTTTTATAATATTGAAGGAAGTTGTTAGTTAACCTATGACTATTTTAATGATTACTAGCTGACTCGGCAAACATTGTTTGCCATATAAATTATTTCTAGAGGAATCAGAACGCACGCATAAAATGTTTGACAGGTTACACAGATATAGTTGACAGGTTGACAGATACAGTTTGTATGAGAAAATAAAATTGTTGCTATTTCGATTTTCCATGCAATTTTTCTATAATTTCTCATCGTTTAAACCTTCCCTGGACTGCCACGAATATATCAAAACCAAAATTAACCAAATTGGTCCAGCTGTTCTCGACTTTTAGCGAGACTAACGTACAGCAATCCATTTTCATATATAAGATTTAATAAATATAAATATTGATTCATTTTATAAATCAATTTTTTACATTTACTAAATATTGTCCTTATAAAAAGTTTAATTCACACTATGTGCAGCTTGGCCTATAGAGTTCTTAGTAACAATATTTCTGTACAATATGTGAACAAGTTAGCTGTCTATGTAAGATATTTGTAAATTTTTGTTTTAACAATCCAATGTTTTAAAAATTTATATCTCCTTTTGTTATTTATATGTAATAGATCAGTATAACTTATAAATATCCTCATATTGCATAAAAAAATTTGTTAATGGACTAGAGTCAAGCATAAAATAGTTTTACTCTTTTTAGTAATTCAATTCAGTTGGTGCATAGTGTAAAAGAAATTTATTGCAAATATGGCAATAATTAATGGCGATTTAGATAGAAACAATAAGAAAACCTATCTTGTTTATTGTTTTTATTTATTTCATTGTTTTTTTCGTACATAGATACTATGGAGTGAATGATCCTGTGGCTGAAAAACTAATGCGTCGCGCTGCGGCAATGCCTGCATTACCGCCGCCCGAGGACAGGACAGTTACAACATTGTACATTGGGAACCTACCGGAAAATATCACGGAGGATGAGCTTAAGGGTCATTTCTATCAATATGGAGAAATAAGGTATAAAATTGTATACTTAAACTTTAAAGTCATAATATATTAGTAAAAAAGTCTATCTTTAATGTTTAAATTCCCATATTAAAGTTAAATGAGAGTGCCATTAACATAACTAACAAAATTAATAATGACCTTTTATTCAACTGTGTCCAGGACAAGTTACTGAATTACTTTTTTTATGGGATGCCTCTGCTAACACTGTAGTGTTTCACATGTCCATTAGGGGGGTTATCACTTAACATCATATGAACTACCTGATCAAGTAACAATGTTTCATATTTTTGAACCATCTGTTTCAGGTGTTTAACCCTAGTCCCGAGAGCTCAGTGTGCATTTGTTCAGTACACCACAAGGAATGCAGCGGAACATGCAGCAGAAAAGACCTTCAACAGACTTGTCATTGGAGGCAAAAGACTTACAATCAAGTGGGGTAAATCCCAAGGTAATTTATGAAATATACGACAAACAAATATTGTGCACATAAAGTATCTAAAATAGAATTATAAAGCTGCCGCTTAATGTAATAAGATGTACTCTGAGACTTATACATATGTTGATAATTTGATTTCATTATTGTGTTCTGTATTCATTAATAGATGAAAAGAGGTAGAAAGGTGTGAAGTCTTACTATTAAATATACTATTGTATAATAATGTATTTTGGTAAAAAAACTACATATAGGAGGATAGTAGAAAGAAAATTACATGCTCAGTAGTAAGATACGTGTTTTGTATTTTAGGCCGTCAAGGAGCCAATGAAAAGAATGAAGTGGCACCCGAATTGGAGCCCGTGCCTGGACTGCCTGGTACACTACCACCTCCACCACCTGCCTTCTTGCATCCATTCCCACCACAGGTAAGGGATAGTGCAAATTTTAGTAAATATATATACATTAATAAAATATGTATTATCCATGAATTATTGTGCACAAGTCAATTTATTTTCTTTTCAAACTGCCTGAATACTTATAGTTTCTGCTACTAACTTTTGATTGTGCCAAGTGTTTTTGGTCTTTTATGTTCACAATTTAAAATTCCAGGGTAATAGTAAAAACATAAGTTTATTTTATTTTTTCATGTTTTATTCCATATAAATTTTAAGTTTGTAGATGTAAAATAGGCAGAAATTAAAATTAAAGAAAATATTAGTATTAAGAAAAAATTATATTATTATAGAGCTAAACACCATTGTTGTTTGGATCAATCATCAATCCAATTGATTTTTTTTCCTACTATGGCTCCACTGAGACATGAGTGATTTTGCCAATGACTTGGTACTTGGAGATCGACTCGTCTGAGGACATGACAATAGTAACCTACTGTATTGAACCACTTTTAGTTGCGTACCTGTAAAGAGAGAAACAAAACACCTCATTAGTAATTAGTAACATACGGTCATTAGTAATGAGACATCAGCCATACATAAATAAAAAGAGAAAAAAAAGAACACGAAGAAAAAAGGCGAGAAACAAAAATCTTATAAACCAGCTTAGAACCGTATATTGTTAATTTCTATGAATTTAACTAGTTTTAATGAACGAGGCATAGACAAGAGTTAACAAACAAGTAATATTCACAGGATGTGCCATAGTGTGTGGGAGTAGGTCATATAAAGGGACTGATAACATAGGACTGCTATAGAATAAATGATCAAGAGTACCCTCATTTAACAATCCAAATCCAATTGATGAAAACAAACCTAACAACTCGCAGCCTTTTCTGTTATGTTATGAAACACTTAGAGAAGTTTGCAGTTGTTGTATCACTCACCAGATGAATTGTAGAAGTATAACACTTTTCCCTTCACGCCGGTTTTCTGTGAGGTTGTGATACTTCACCATATGGACCTCTCCATTCGTGCAACAGTGAAGACTGTTGTGTGGCCTAACCGCAATCATAAGTAAGGCGTAATTGAATGTTCCACAGATGCCGCCTCCACCGAGCCGCCCGAACGACTTCTTCAACTTGCAGCATTACACTGGACCCGGGTGGGGGTGGGCCGCACCAGCCCCTCCAGGGATGCACTACCCAAGCCAGGACCCGGCCCGTCTGGGGGCCCACGCGCATGCAAACGCTCCGCAAACATAGTACCATCAAAATTTCAATCCATTTTGGACTGGTTGGACGTACATCGACGGTCAACTGTGGCTATATTAGTGAAGTAGACAATCATCTGGGTTTTTGAACAGACCTGGAATCTAGAGCATTAAATGAGAAAGTACTGATGTAACTACCAATAGTTTTACTAATTTACCATCAAGGGATCCATTGGCCCAAGTGACTTTTCTAGCTTGTATTGTTTTATGATAGTGAAATAAATTCTTATCACCGTTGTTTCTAAAAAATCACCACTTGCCACCAGTAAATTTGACATATCTAGCAACCGTGCTTGTACAATAGTCACTAAGGAAGAGATATTTTTCTTTTTATAGTTTTGGCAATCCACAGATGTTTTGGATACCAAATGGGGCATTGATCACATACAATTAGGTCAATGGTTTGCTTGTTGCCATCTCTTCTATCTTCCATCTATATGTTAGTAAAAAAGAATACAAAACTAATGTAAAAGGTGAAGTATTAATATTTAAGTATGCCAATGTCTATGTTAGAACTGTCATTAATTAAGCCATTGGGTGGGTTTTAAGGTGATCTTGCAGATATAATTTTCTTAACAGATTACCAGTTACTGTGAAATTTATTTACATGGAGTGTTGTGCTAACATTTGCTCCCGAAATATATTAAGTAAGATCATGCTGTATGATAATGGTCCAGTACACTAGCTGAACATAATATTGCAAAGATATTACAACGTAAAATACAAAAATAATACAATTATATTTTAATTAATTAATATTATAAATTCACTGTAGTAACTGGTAAAGCAAAGTGAATAACAATATTATTGAGTATCATACTTGGTAATATATTAATCTAAATATGAATCATCGGTTAAATAAGTGAAAAATGTGGCGAAAAAATGTTTGTTTTGTCAGTTCAACTTGTATATATAAATGTACTTATGAAGAAATCCATAAATGATTGGCTACAATCATTTATGTTTCAATAACAATATAATAATTATTACTGTGCTTTTTGTAATAATACAATAAAGGTTATGATGAGATAATAAACATTCAATATTTGGAATAGACTAGTAGTTTATTAAGATTTAATAAAGCATATTTTCTTTTTATGAACTCTGAATTCAGTCCAAAACGTGACAGGTAACTTTTGTTCTCAAACATTAACTAACAATTGCTTTTTTAATGAAAATGTCTCGTCGTTTATTTTCTCAACTTTTTTTTTAATCATAGTATTTGCTGGTTACTGTTTATTTGGTTAAACAATAAAAAGATATATGTAGGTAAAATGCTGTTGATTCTGCTATAAATAAATAAATTCAAATTACTTTGAAGTGTATTATCAGTTTGGGGATTCTCCAATTTTTTCAAACGGCTGTCCTGCTATCTGTCTGCCCCTATGTATGCTTAGATCTTTAAAACTACGCGACGGATGATGCGGTTTTTTTTACTGGTTAGAGTGATTGAAGAGTAAGGTTTATGTATAATACATTGCACCCGTGCGAAGCCGGGGCGGGTCGCTAGTTTAATATAAGACTGGAGTTTTGTTTCAGCATTGTATTCCATAAAACAAGTATGTTTTTAAATGTTAAAATTAAATGGTTGTATAATAAACAAAACTCACGAAAATAATGTCTTTATAAAATTAATTTCAATTTCCTCTTTAGGCTTTCTTAAAGTAGATGAACTTGTTTTGAATATCTATAGTGATGTTGATTTGTTTTTCTAGTTTGTTTGACTGTAGTGGTTGTACTGTGAGTGTGACAAATAATTTCCTTGTATCCCTTCGATACTATTTAAGAATTTACAAATAAATAAAAAATGGGAGTATATAATTAAAATCGACGCACACGTAAGGGTTACTTAGGATGGGTTAGCTTAAATGAAACAAGTGTCATTGAAACTATATTTAATATTAATCATAAGTTTATAACATGACTTAATCGTTAAAAAAACATTTTAAACATTCTCGATAAATCTACATCCCTTCGCTTACCGTTTATCTGGGTAAGGACGGTCCGATAATAATTTACATAACTCTAGGCCCAGATACACACAATACAGTAGGCAAAGTGTGATAGTGTATACGAATCCATATATTAAAGCAGCTTAAACTTTCCTTTAAGACAGTACACTAAACTGCGGAGTCCACTGACTAGTTCCAGTAACAGTTAAACCTTTATGAACTTAGCCTATTTTATACAACGTTAGAAACGCTATTTTTATAATATTGTGCATCTATAGGAGTCTTATTTTGCAGGGCAAGAAGTTTCAGGTGATTACAAACATCGATTTGATTGAAATTAAGTAAACTGCCGGAAAGGCAACATTCTAAACTCTGAATAAACACACACAATCTGTAACTCTACACGCACATCGAATGGGGCCCAATTAAGCGAGTTATTTACATGCTTTTTTTTAATTTTGGAATGTCGTCAAACGAAACAGACGGAATATTGTGTGCATACAAAGCTTTAGTTATATCCTTTAATGAGGAAAATATTACAATTGGTTAGATTTTTTGAAACATGGGTACGATAAAAAAAGTTATACTGACTCCGTAAATAACAAAACATATCTCCCCTACATTATAACTTTCGTGATACAAACGAAACCATCAAATTTGTTAGAAGGCATGGTTTTTAAAGCGTCCGTAGTAAGCTCGCATCATTTAACATAACTACTCAATTAACTAGCAGTCAACTAATATATAATACGTATCATTAATTAAATATTGCTCAGATAATATGAATTTGTGTATATCTGAATCAAAATTCTTGCGTAGAAATATAGAAAATATTCACAAATATTAATTTTGTAGCAGAATTCATTGAAGAAATAGCAATTCTACGTTGCTATTAAGAATTAGCAAATCCAATTTTATTTCCAAATACTAATATGTGGGTCATAAATAATTTAACAAGTTAAAGAATACAACACAGCCATACAACATTTTGGCCGTTAAAAATAATCTAACCCCTATATGTATTATATATATACAGCGTGTCGTTACAACCGCGACAATACACACGTCTAACGCTACAATCAAAAGAAAATATTAACGTTAAAAAAATCCATAATTAAAAAAATATTTTTCAAACATACTAATTAAGTAAAAAAGAAACAAAATTTGTAACATCCTATACAACTACAACTGACTGATTCATACATTCAGAGACTTTTTCATTCGTTGCCACAACGTCACATTACAAGCCTCTCCTTCTAACAGTATGTTTTCTCGCTTTTAAATTCATTCAACCCATTCATATGCTGTGTGACCTTTACAAATGAACTTTGCGTTACAGTTTTATACGTAAGGTTGTTCTAAAATTCTTAGTTTTGGAAAATTTTATAACTCGGTAAATATTGATATTTAAAGAATGTAAATGTTTAATACAATTTTAAAAAGTTATCCCCTATATGTGTGTTCATTTATTGTCGCGATTGTAAAGACACGCTGTATTTCAAAATTAAACATAGTTTACAGTGGACTGAACGATAATTATCATAAATGTGCAATTCTGAAATGGAGAATAAGAGAAAAAGCTAAAATTAAATCTAAAATATGTATATTATAACAATTTCCAATAATGATTTAGTTCAAATGTTCAAGTCAAGCAATAATCAAGTTACAATTTTCAATAAACAATAACTCTTAAATTTAATGACAAAGGAAAACATCGAGTTGCTGTATATACTTTATGTAATATGCATGTATATAATTTTGATTTTTAATTGTATATTACAAATATGATATTTAAAATTAGGAGCACTATAAATACATGAACGTTAGTTGTTTTATGTACTTTCGCGAAGTAAATAGTAAATGCCGTTCGTTTTTTAAAACCACTTGTACCTGTAAAAAAATGAAAAAAAAATCTTTAAATGATCATTAGTGGATTTTGGAACAATCATATTGAATAGCGTACATTACAGTGCTATAATGTACACTATCAAAAAAAATTAAATCAACTATTCAATATGGTTTAGTGCACAGTTGTACATAAATAGAGAGATACCTGCAAAAAAATTCTAGCATACATACTAGCTACTAATACTTCTAGTATACACTTACAAGTATGCCTGTATATTGCGGCGTGTAATTTGGTGTTTTATATTGTGGAGCGTTGTACTGATGCCACAGACTTCTGCTTCCGTAAATTTTGTATCGGGATGTTATAATCCAAATATTTTAATTTAGGGTCGAAATTATGAAGAACACCAGAGCATCTAGCTGGATACAAAATTAGTCACGAAAGTGATTAATTTTGATATTATTAAAAATAAATTAAATAATAATCAGTATTTAGTTTTATTTCAACTTCCGCTTCCATTACCCTTATCTTCTATGTAAATGCAACATTTACGAAGCAGTTAGTGAGTTGGAATATAGTACATGTAAGTTGTACTTGTTGATGTTATGTCTTGCGCATGTTTTGTACATAGCGTATGCTAAAAAAATTGTAATTACGCGTGTTCGTGTGTGTACATCGCGTGTTTGTTTGTGCATCGCGTGTTCGTGTTGAGTGCATCGCGTGTTCCTGTTTTGTGCATCGCGTGTTCGTGTTCGTGCTTTGTGCATCGCGTGTTCGTGTTGAGTGCATAGCGTGTTCCTGTTTTGTGCATCGCGTGTTCGTGTTTGTGCATCGCGTGTTCGTGTTGAGTGCATGGCGTGTTCCTGTTTTGTGCATCGCGTGTTCGTGTTGAGTGCATCGCGTGTTCCTGTTTTGTGCATCGCATGTTCGTGTTTGTGCATCGCGTGTTCGTGTTTGTGCATCGCGTGTTCGTGTTGAGTGCATAGCGTGTTCCTGTTTTGTGCATCGCATGTTCGTGTTTGTGCATCGCGTGTTCGTGTTTGTGCATCGCGTGTTCGTGTTGAGTGCATAGCGTGTTCCTGTTTTGTGCATCGCATGTTCGTGTTTGTGCATCGCGTGTTCGTGTTTGTGCATCGCGTGTTCGTGTTGAGTGCATCGCGTGTTCGTGTTTTGTGCATCGCGTGTTCGTGTACGTGTTGTGTGCATCGCGTAGGCGCACCTTCGCCGCGGCGCTAGTAGCGGTTGGCGTTCGCGATCTGCGCGTTGACCGCGGCCGCGGCCGCGCTGGAGGCGGCCGTCTGCACGTGCTGGTTGCGCAGGATCTCCGTCGTGAACTCGGCCTGCGCCTTCGCCAGGGACGCGCCCGTCGAGCGGTAGATGCGGTGCACCTGAGACGAGCGGTGGCGGTTTTACTAAGCTGTCGCAATGTAACGGTGTCGAATTGTAACTGTGGTGGGGCCACGCGACAGTTTCCACCGGTGCACGAATGGGCAGGTCCGTCCGGGCAACTGCCACGACGTCACAGAAGACCGGCCGTAAATTTGAAGTGCTAAACTTCTGCGTTTCGTCTGGCGAGTGAGGTAGCCGGGGCCCATTTTATTTGAAGGTGGCAACGCATTTGCAATCCTACGGTTGCAAATGTCCACCACTTTTTTACATAAAAAAAAAAATTCGCGTATTGTCACCGATTGTAAAACGAGCGACGTCGCCGTTACATTTCAACGTTTTGACACTGATTCTATCCGCAAAGGAATCGGCTTCGCGGCCAACTCATCGTTTCTATTTGACGATTTGATTCATTAATTTTAAAATGTTCTATCGCTGTTTCGAATATCTGAAGTCTTATACGCTTCGCGGCGTCCATTGTGACGAACGATACCGAGTTGTGTTGTGTATTAATGTCAGAGTAAGCCCGGTATACATTTGATTATTTATTTTATTCTCATCCACGCCAAATAAAGCATAGTGCCTTGAGGTTATAATGTGTATTTTTTAAAATAAAATCTACAAATATTTATAAAGTTAAATTTTATACGATGTTTTAGCGATAAATGGAATGAATAAACAAATATTAATATTATGTATATTCCAATAATAGTAATAGCAACAACTTTATAAACTCCATCTTGGTACTACTAATAAATTACATTTACATTGTTAATATTGTGCCCAAATACGTTATGTTGTATGAATTGAGTTGTCATTAAGTTCGTAGACTCGTAAGGGCGGATTCGTCACGAAGCGAACCAATTTTAATCGCTCCAATCAGCTTTACCACAATCAATTATACGTAACGACAGTTTAAACGGTCTGCGCATAACGCTCATCACCTTTGCCATTAGCATCACGTCGGCCACCACCGTAGTGATGAATCCGATAGTGACCAACAGAGTGATTATGCCCACGCCCACGTTCACTTTAAACGCGCTGATGCTGGTCACGAGACCGCTGAAATTGAAGAAAAAAAATTACAGGTTGCAGCACTCCGGGAGTGCCGACAGAAGTGAAAACTTATTGTTTTTAGATAAATAAAATAGTATAAATAAACAATTTTGATTCGAAGTTATTGAAGTATCTCATGAATACCGCATTATTTGTACTGTATATCTCGTTGTGCTAATATTGGCGTTGATTGGACGTAGTAAAATCAAATTCTCTATTCAAAAATTCAATGAAGCAGCTATGGCTGCGTCTCATAAAGGTGTCGCGAGTCCAGAGATTTTATCTCGTCTAAAAATATGTAAAACGTACCGCGGTAGTTAAAAGAAGTTTTCACTTCAAAAAGTAAACTTTAATAGACACCATCAATTACGATAAAGGATATACGTTGCTTCTACCATGATATAAGAGTATCCCAGTTTTGGGTTCGTTAATAATTTGTACACGGAATAACATAAAAGTAACAGCCTATATAAAAGTCCCACTACTGGACAAAGGCCTCCTCGGCACAGAGGGTATAAGGGCGTAGTACACCACGCGGCCCCACCGCGGATTGGCGAATTTCACATGTATTCAATTTTTTTTTGTTTTTTTAACAGTGATAAATTAGCACTTATAATTAACCATTTCATTGGTGCCGCAACTTAAAAGCGAGCTCACGGAAATTCAAAATGTTAGTTTTTCGAAACAAAGTCACCTATATACAAACTACAATCGGCTCGCAACAAATAGGTTATTGTCTCTTTCTCTCACAATGCGCGAAAATGACCCTTGTATAATATAAATATTATCAATATCTACTAAAACAAAGCAATTAAATTTTTATCGATTTTCTTATCTGTCTGATAATTAACCACGATGATTGACATTTGCGTTTAAACAAGTTAACTGAAATTAAATTATTTTAAAATCTATCTAACACCATTTGGATTTAAAATAAAACCGTTTAAAAACTTTTAAGTTAAACGGTTTTATTTTATGTTTTTTTTTTGTTAATATTGTATTGTCATCTAAATTAAATATGTGTACCAAATTTCAGATCAATCTGACAACGGCAAGGTGCTTAAATTTCAATTTCTAATTTTGACCCAAACAAATAAATTCCGTACGGGTCGAGCTAAATAAAACCGTTTAATAAGAATGGAATTTTAAGCAACAATATACTTGCAAATTAAAGAGAATTGACTTTTGTAAAAATCTATTGTAAAGATCTTATAACAGACTTTTACAAACATCTTGTTAACATCCAAACGATACAGTTAATAAATATTTCACCAAATGCGCAGAATATTGTAAAAAAAATCCTAAAGGCATCATAAACATTAATCAATTTCAACGGCTCAGTCTGAAGCGGACTGTGTTTTAAATTTAGTATCTTGGAGTAATCATACTGGGAATGTTTATCCTACCAACAGAGGAAGTTAAAAAAAACGAACGTCCCAAATGACAACACGATAATCTAATCCCACGGGAAGATGTTAACCCTACAGCAGAAGTTATCCTTACTAATATTATAAAGGCGAAAGTTTGTATGTATGGATGGATGTTTCTCACTCGTTCACGCAAATACTACTGAATGGATTTCAATGAAACTGTAAATAATATAGCTTATACATCAGAATAAGACATAGGCTATAATTTATATACATATTTTATGTATATCTGTCTTTCTATCTGAATGTTACGCCTTCGGCGTATTCTACGCAGACGTAGACGCGGGTAGCAGCTAGTAAAAAATAAACACTCACCACGAGCCGCCGCCGGTGAAGCCGATCGACTGGACGGTGGTGATGATGATTTGGAAGAGGAATATGAAGAAGAACACCATGAAGTTGAACGAGGAGTCGCTGCGGAACGCCTTGTAGATCGGCCGGTACCAGCATATGAAGCTGAACGGCGTCAGCAGCACGAAGTAGAGGATCGAGAGGCCGAATATCGTGAAGCCCTCGCCGGAGATCATCATAGACATGGCGCCGATGATGTTCAACGCCAGCACCAGCGCGTGGACTGAAAGGGAAATCGATTCTCGAAGTCATACACTTCGGGAATAGCCCACTCCCAAAAAGGCCGGCAACGATCGTGTCTCGGCCGATGTTGCCAGTGTCAGTGGGCGGAGGTTATCGCTTACCATCAGGTGATCCGCTTGCTAGTTTGGTTGATTTTTTCATTAAAAAAAAAGTCGTCGAACCGTCTTCTGTCTCGCTCACACTATTTTTATTTATAATACATTTTTTTGAGATGGCGGTTCACCTTATAGTAAGTGATAGCCGCTGCCCATGGACCTTTTAATAAAGTGGGCCCCCGCTACCTAACTCCCAGACGGAATGCAGAAGTATAATGCTTCCACTTCACGCCGGTCTTTTGTGAGATCGTGGTACTTCCCCGGACGGACCTGCTCATTCGTTCAACAAAGAACTCTTGCGTTGGCCTATACCGAATTATAGACATAGAAAGAAGACGGCCCCCGGCAGGGGAGATCAAACGAGGGTTAGGGTGAAAGGGAGAGAAACCTATTAATATTATTATTATAAATCACTCACACATCCACAGGTGGTATAGGTGGCGGACGATCCTTTGGAACTCGAGCGGTATGTCCACGTTTATGTCCTGGTAGAAGCACGGCTGCACGGGGCAGAAAGCGGGCAGGGGGGGCCAGTTGTTCCTGCGGCCGGCGGAGCCCGCTCGCAGTTCCGCTTCCCGCCGCGCCAACTCCTCCGCTTTCCGCTCCAACTCCTCCTGCCTCCTCTGCGAAGCGGGTGACGTCACACACTCTTGTACTTTGCGTGGATGGGGGTTCCTTTTACGCGAGACGGTGGCAAGCGAGCTGGCGTTCCACCTGATAAGTGATAACCGCCGCCAATGGACACAACCAAGTGAGCCCTTGTCACCTCACTCACGAAACGCAGAAGTGTAACACTTCCACTCCACGCCGATCTTCTGTCAAGTCGTGGTGTTTACCCGAACAGATCTGCCCATTGGTGCAACAGCCGAAGCTGTTTCTGAATAAACATTTTTCGTGGTTCATGGCCCTACCACAGTAACAGTAAAGGTTGGGTAGTAAGTCCCAACGACCATAGCGATCTAGAAGATCTATTGTAGTCTTCCTTTCGAGAAAATGGCCCATCAGTGTAGGATAACATTATTCTATGTGAGCACGTTTTGCATACATAAATTTCACGTGGGCCAACACTCAGATCCGAAAAATTATCACCGATTAATTATCTTTGGGTCACAAATAGTTGTCTCGTAGGGGAATCGAACTCACATCATCCGGCGTTGAAGCCAATACTTTGGTAACTGAGCTATGGAGTCATCACACACACTCATTGTGAACATTGCGTTTGGCTCCCGCCATGATTACTTTTTTAGTTGAAAGTTGAATGTGTAGTTTGAAGCATGTACCCGACTGCTAATACATAATTTATAGGTTTATCACATTCTGTAGAAACATGTAGTTTTGTACGTATATTTGTGTGTGAGTGAATGAGAAAGCTATAGAGCGTGTCGTTACCATCGCGACAATAAATGAACATACGTCTAACGTTACTTGCCAATAATCATAAAAAAATATTAACGTTAAACAAAATCCATAATAAAAAAAATGTTCTTCAAAAACAAACTAATTAAGTAAAAAAGAAACAAATTTTGTAACATCCTATACAACTCGCGCCACAGCGTCGCGTTTCAAGCCGTATTCAAGCGTCAAAATATTTATACGTTACCAGTATAACGCTACTTTTGTCAAACAAACTAATTAAGTAAAAAAGAAACAAAATTTGTAACATTATACAATCAGCGTCGCGTTTCAAGCCTCTCCTTTTACCAGTATGTTTTGTCTCTTTTAAAATCATTCAACCCATTCATATGCTTTCTGACCTTTACAAATGAACTTTACGTTACAGTTTTATACGTAAGGATGTTCTAAAATTCTTTGTTTTGGTAAATTTTATAACTCTGTAAATCTTGATGTTTAATGAATGTAAATTTTTAATACAATTTTAAAAAATTATCCCCTGCGTCAAACTTTCTCTACTCCCAGGGTTGACTGGAAGAGAATGCTTATTAGCATTAAGTTTGCCTTTTTTTTAGCCTTGAAGTTGAGGTGTAAACAATAAATTTTAAATAAATAAAATATGTACATATATAGCTTTCTCACTAAATGGTGTTTGTTACACGTATAATTATATTTCATATGGTCATATGACCATGCATGTTATTGTAAATGGCATAATGTTACAGCCCTAATCGAAATCGATAAATTACATAGGTATTTCATTTTCAATTTCGGTACAAGTGACACGTAACGTGTGGGCAACATTTTAGTGTACGTCACTAATGCCTTTAAGTTAAAGGCCATTTCAGTATAAAGTTTATTTACAAACAAATATTGCATTGACAAATTACTTGGAGTATTCTATATAAGAAATCTGTTGTTATTGATAATAGTCGATAAATACATCAGCGATATGAAGATAAAAATCCCTTCGAAGTACACATATCATACATTTACTTTTTATCAAAACTTTCAATCAAATGACTGTTGCAGAAAGGCAAGATAAGAATTGATAATTCGGAAATAATACATTTGAATGCAAAACAAAACATAATATTATGGACAGCAAAAATGTCTTCTTATTTTCAAATTTCTTTGAATTCACAATTTGAAAGCAAAAGTTTATTGAATAAACATTTTTCTTATAATGTTGAATTGCAAAGTAAATTTTAAGGAGTTTATTAAATGGAACCAAAATCTGATAACATTAAAAATTCTAAGTATTTCTCTTCTAATGACACATATGTTCAAATCTGTCTAAGGTTTAGGCTGTGCCAAAGAATTCGACATACATACTTACACACGAAAAATATTACCCTTCCTTGCTAGTAGAGAGAGTATAAAAGTTTAAGAATATCAACTTGATTATGGTTATCTTTTTAAATCCAACACAACTGTTAATTGCTTTTAATTTTAAATATATGCAATAAAATAAATGTGAACTATGAGGTGTGTCGACAAAGGGTAGTGCAATCAATTTCTAAAGTAAAAATGGATTTCTGTTATAACAAATGCTGTATACTATATGCAATACACATGCTGTTTCAATTGCTTTGCAGCAGAAATGTTGTGGTGTTAATTAACAGCAATCATGAATTTGTTTTTTTTAATCTTAAGTTGACAACGATTCTCAAAGATGCAACATTTATTTTTCTTAGGCAGTAACATAGTTTTAATGTGATGTGACTTTCGCCTTTTTATACCACCTCACTTTCTGTACCAAGTCCACTATGTGTAATAAGGGGAAAAAGAGATTTTTTTGCATAATAAATAAAGACTGTGGTTCGATGATTAAGTTAAAACAAAAACAAATGTTCATGCTAGGTACTTAAAGCTAGACCATTAAAATTTATTCTGAAGAAACATTTCATACTTTTCTCTACAAATTTTAAAATTCTGTTGATGCAAATACAAGTTTAGATAGAATACTTTGCTGGGCAAATTTAATTTATATGCCTTAATTATTTACATATATCTGGTATAAAAATTAGTTGGAATAATTTCAAGATGATTTTATTAAATAATCGAAAATTGGCAGGTATCTGCATATAACATGTATAGCGAAGACTTAATAAAAAAAACTAAAGAAACTACACTATATGAAACTTTCATGACAAATATCCATAGTAAATAGATTACATAATGATAAGGCATCCAAACATTTGATAGTTAAAAAAAAAGCATCAACAACATAAAAATATGTTTACCTTTAGCTCCTTTGGTGTGGATTATGTGGAAAGAGTAAAATATGGGTTAATAATTAGCATGTAATTTCTCGAAATTTATTACTAATGTTTTATATTACATATATAATATTAACATCTATTTACATGTTAGCAGTGATAATGTTGAAAACTTCTAATGAAGAATAAGGAAAGGCACATAAAAGGATGATAAGAAGTGACAGTGATTAATGAAATAACATGTGATGATTTAATTGCTTAAGCCTCATTGATGTGTTTTTATGCAAGAAGGTGGGAAGGGGCAAGGCAAGGTTGCCATTGACATCTAGAATATCCGAGGGTGGCAGCATCTATGTGAATCTTTAAAAAGGCAGGTCACAGTTACACTCTCACCAAAGGAAATGCAAAAGTATAAATTTACACCAGTTTTCTGTAAGGCTGTGCCTTTCTGGACTAGCCTACTAATTTATGTAACACTAGAAGCTTTATGTAACATTTATCAACTTGAGACCACAGTTCTTCTTCACTTATGTCATTCTCACATCCATATTCTATCCAAATGAAGAAATAATATTATATTACGCTAAAACTGCCTGAAAGGAGGAAACATAAAGGAAACTAAACTTACTTGGAAGTCAGCAGTGGTAAAATTTTGTGGTGGACCCTGTGACTGTTGCGATTGGTCTGGTCTAGTATATTGTCCACTGGAAGGAGGTGGAGATACTGCCTGCATAATTGCTGGTTGGGAAGGTTGTTGTTGGCCCTAAAAATATAAGGATTTGTGTTATAAAGCTTCAACTAATTAATTTATCAAACAAAAGCTAGATTTTAATATTGAGCCCTATTATGCTGGTCTTAAATTTTGGTTTTAATAATAAATTTATTTTTTTATCATTAGTCTAATTAAAAAAAATACAGTGTCATTCAAATGCATGGTAGTATACTGGGTTAATATTCCGAATAGTATGTCTCGTTTTTCAAGCTAGAAAAAAATTTTAATCGATAGAGAAATGTTAATAATTAAATATTATATAAGTTATAATCAATGAAAACCATTAGATTATGAGGAAAAAATTAACAAAGTTTTTAAATTTCTTACAACTGAAATCCGTATTCACTGTGCGTCCATTATTCATTATAGACTATTATTTTAAGTTAAAAACTTACGTTTTCACTTTTTACGTTGTAAGAAGACACAAATACACGGATATATCACAAAAACACAAGTTTCCACTTCATGAACATGTATTATTAACAATTTCTAATATTTAAAATTTGTGACTTAGCGTACACTTAATGTCTCGAATATTAGGTTCAAAATGAGTCATAGATCCGACACAGAGCGATCCGACTCGGATAGGTTAGGTTAGAAGGTTAAGGCTGGAGCTTTGCTCCTGCCTTAACCTTCTAACCTTAAAATAATGCGAAGGTTATAATTTGGAAAAGTGAGTGAATTCTTAAATTTATACATGTTGTCAAACACAAAATGGCGGATTTATTTAGTGAAAATAACAAGTTATAAATTTTTTTTTATTAAAAGTAAGTGTTTGCCTTGGTTTTCACGTATGTAATATTTAATTATTAACATTTCTCTATCGATTAAAATTTTTTTCTAGCTTGAAAAACGAGACCTACTGTTCGGAATATTTACCGTATACTGTACACAACAGATAAACGAGCAGTTACAAAGAATTTATTTACACTAGCATTGTGCTAAGGAAATAAACAATAAGATTTCAATCAAACATAAATAATATTGTTTCTGTTAAAATTATAATACGACGACAAGAGAAATCGACAAGTGACCATAGGTACATATAAATTAGGCCATAGTTTATCTAATATCGCTTAATGTATTCATTAAATATGTTATGACTAATAATGGGTATACCATTGGTTGATTTGCATTTTGCTGTCCATCAAAGGGGTTATAATCGTCTAGACCACGGGTTGCATTAGTTGTGCTTCTGGCTACTTGCTGGACCGAAGGATCCTAAAATCAAAAGAATGGAATAAATAAGAAAAAAATGATAACAATTTTCAATTTTCTCCAAGACTACTTACAGCAAACGGATTGTCTATGGTTGGATCACTAAAAGGATTATCCTCAAATTTCGACATTTGTTCTGATTTAACTAAGCCACTTTTGAAAATATATCGTAATATATGGCGATAAATATACTTGTCACTATATTTTTAGCACAAAACGCAATAAATAGAAGCTACCGAAACAATAAGTGACAGTTTATAGCGCTAATGATGGTGACGAAAAATGACATTGTAATAATGTTGCCCACAAATTACGTGTCACTTCTACTTCTGAAATTTAAAATGAAATACCTATGTAATTTATCGATTTCGATTAGGACTCTAACATTATGCCTTTTACAATAACATGCATGGTCATATGACCATATGAAATATAATTATAAGTGTAACAAATACCATTTCATATCATAATTATGTCGTTGTTAGGTTCTCAAAAATTACTTCTTACAAAGTCGTTCTACTTGTGAAAGACAATCCGGGACTTCAAATGTACAAAACCATGGTGGTTCCTATAATTGCGTTGTATAAATAGTATACCATTGGTTTCATTGCTAAACTATTTTTACCTATGTTTTGCGACATCCACATCCACAGGCACGTTAGATGTTATTCAAGATCCTTTAAATGTAGATTATTATAAATGATTATTAATGTATTAATAATAATGATTACTAACATACACATCATTAATTTTAAAGTTTTTTTTATAGTGCTAATCTCTGCACTTAAGTAATAAAGAAAATAGTACGGGTTCGATTCCCACAGCGGCGACAATCTTTTCGTACTTTATTTACATGTTTTAATGTTCAATCTTAAGTGCAGAGATTAGCACTATAAAAAAACTTTAAAATTTCTAAAAAGCAATGGCGTCTTTTCTCGTTCGAATTGTCGTTGTAAAACGATATTCGAAATTGTTTGTATGCTGGAAAGGATATAACAGTAGATGCGCCAAGCATTGCTTCAAATGCTAAATACTAATGTAGAAAGAAGGCGTTAAGATTTTCGTCGCCGGCTATCAGCCGTTTAGCTCAGTGGCTCGTGCGTCAGGCCGCGAATGCCGAGGACGTGGGTTCGATTCCCACAGCGGCGACAATGTTTTCGTACTTTTTTCTACATGTTTTAATACACAATTTTTAACGTATTAGTTGTTTAATATGAACCATCGAAAAATAATTGCATTTTACTGTGAAGTTATTTTGGATATCGTGTAATCATGCCAATGGGAAGAATATGTGTTATTATTACAAGTAGTATTTGTAGTGTTTATTTAAAGAAACACAATCGCATTGCCACTTGACTTGGGTTGGGGCTAATGAAGCTTAAAATACTCTAAATAGTAGAAGTGAAAAAAAATTATTTAAAAGTCTAAAAAGGTATTTGTAGTCCTACTGTATACCATATGATTAAAAAAATATATTGCACTTCTCTCCTTCTTCTCTGATGCAAAAAAAAGCATAAAGCGAGACTAAGCTATAACTCGTTTAGTTAAAAATAAAACTTTTAATCATTACATGAAGAAATAATGAAATATTTAATTAAAAAAATCATTTCAACAAAAAACATTTTTGTTAAGAAACTAAAGAAACGAACGACGAAGAAGAGATAAAAAAACGTAAAAGTAAAGAAACAGTTGTATATTCTAAGGTACAGTTGTATTTCTAATATTTTTTTCTATAACTTAAGTTATGTGTACTAAATAAGTGCTTTAGTAAATTAAACTATAGGATTGAGAATTAAAAACGAAATCAATTAAATGAAACTTAAATTTAATTTTAAGTAAGAGTTAAGGCGAAAATACAAATTTAAAGGGTGTTTTAAGTAACAAAAAAAATATTAAACTTTAACTTTTCGACTAATATATAATTCTCTAAGAAAAAAAAATTATGGTTTCCTAATTAAATTTAGTTAATATATCCTAGTGAAGCTTGAGTCAATTTTTTTTCTAAATTCACATCATTATCACTACAAGAAATATCACAAAAATGTATGTTTTATTATTTTGATGCAATATAATGTTAAAGTTCTTGCATTAACATAATATACCCTTGTATACCATATGTATACCCTTGCAAAAATACATTTATAATTATATTTGCAGTTTTTTTCTCACCTACGAAATGAATATAAAACTGTAAATAATTATAATAATGTTATTAGAAACCAATATTACAAATAATTCAATACTTCTTTATGTTGGTATTGTAAAGGTGAAAGTGGTTTTACAGTTGGTAGTTGCAAAAGTCTGAATTGTCAGTTTAGTGTACGGTTCTGTCAAAGTAGGCAGCTGTTTACGTTTTGTATCGTTATTTTGCGATCGTTTTGCACAACTTTTGTTATATTGTATTATTTTTATTCTAAAACTTTTACATCTACGATACCTGTGAAATATAATTGTGTTTTTTTATGATTTCTTTTAAGCCATGTCAGATGTCAAGAGGTGAATAAGCCGTGTGTTTGTGTCTAACGTGTGAGTGACAGTTTTTATATTGTTTGGGATTCGTGCGATAAACATATCGGTGAGTATTTCCTTTTTATTCAAATGCACTCTGAAAAACCCGGCAGCCTCCGTTGGTAAATGGGTTAATAATGTGTTAATTATCTTACTTAATGGAATTGTAATATTTTATTGAAAGAGTGTTTAAAGTGATCATTAGTCTTAGGTAAAACTACCTGAGAAAAAGTGAATATCATTTACGTGGCGCGTTTGAATGTTAGCTATTAGTTAGTGCTATTTCGCGGCGTCTGCGCCGAGTCCTTACGCGCAGGCCCAGAACGGCTGCTCGGCGAAAGTTGTTTGCTCTTGATATCAAGGAAGTATCGCCCGAGCAACTGAATTCTTGTCTTAGAACACGATTCTGATTTTTTTTACGTCGTGCTTCTGAAAACTGGTCAAATAGAAACATATTTTGTTTTTCATAGTTGCAGGAAATGTTCAAGTGTAAACTTGAAAGTGAAAGTATGGTTACTCAACCTATAGAATGTCTGTTATCTCTGACTTGTCTTAGCAATCTCCATAACAGAAACTTAAATACGGAATTAAGAGTCTCATGATTTTTTTATTGATATTTTAAAATTATAAACCTCTGCTATGTTTTAGACGATGTAAATAAATAACCAAACAGTGATTGATGTTATGTGTTGTTTTGATATGGTACATATCTCTTAAGTATTTAATACTTAAGTCTATACTGCAAAAAATGCTTTTAGAGATAAGAGAGATATTTTACAGGTGCTTGAACTTTCATTTACACAGTGTCATGTTATTATATCTTTTTGATTTGTAAAGTTTATATTATTGTTATGCCCTTAATTACATTCAAATTTAATTTTTCGGTCAGGTCCTTTAAATCTTTTTACAGTTGACGTTTTTTAAGAATTTGATGTTAGAACTTCTTATTGCTTGTTAAATTTATTTGGTATTAACTATTTTTAAGTTGTGAAGCTTGCAATCTTTACCATTTTTTCCAGTAGTTACTGTTTTCTTAGTGTCTAGGTGATCTTACCTTTACACAGACTAAGTTCGTACTATTTAGGTTATTTGTCTCAATGTTTGCAAATTTTATGAAAAATCTTGACAGCCATATGAGAAAAAAAGCTATCCTTCTGTCAGTTAATTATTTTTCCTATTTCAAACGTGTTACAAAGTAATTAAGCATTTCATAACTCTGAACTTTATCCTAGTTTACTCCATATAAATTATAGCATTTCATTTCATACTAAAAATTATAGTGTAATAATACAAAATTTGTCCACTTATATTATTATGTCCAGCATATTGCATCAGTTCCCTACACAATGGTTTATTTGAGCAATGCAATGTTGAGGTCATTGCGAATAATATTTGTCATTTGACAACACTTTCACTTGTATAGACTTATGTATTATACTTGTATAGACTTATGTATTATATTGTGTATGAATATTAGTATAGGCTTACAGTATGTACTAAATTCTAGTTAGGTATAGCAAAAGTTTTGTTCAATTTTAACTTTTCTTTTTGTAGCTATTTATAGCATGAAATTAATGTGCAGCATTAATATCAATGATCAGTATAAAATAACATATATGCATTGTTTTGAGCGCAATCTACACATAACTGAACTGTTTGTCATGGGAATGGTTTAAAAGGTTCATGTCACCTTTGCATTGATCTTCACATCACAATCAAGAGACAAAGGCAGATTGTTTCAGTTCTTATATTGTCTTATTACAATTTTATTAACTGTTGTACAATAGCTTTTTTTGCAGTTATCTGGTTTAGTTTACTGTTTATCTTTCTAAAACTTCTATTAAAAACACTAACTCCCCAGTGGGATGGACAGAGCAGGGATATTTATTGCTGTAATTTTTCATTAAATTTGTTTAGTATCAAAGTAGTTAATAAAATAATATATATTATTTAATAACATTGTACACATTAATAGTTTAGTTTTGTCTCTCCCCTTATTCTATACATGTGATTGACACAAAATATTAATGAAGTTGTGTCACATTATTTGTAGGTCACACAAATACTTGTCCTTTGCATCAAATCTTCACATTTGGTGCCAAGCAAAAGCTTTACAACTGCAACCAAATCCTCATTGTATTTTCGTCTAATTTTTTTTAAAATTTTATATGAATCTCTATGGTATGAATACAGGCAGCCAGAGTAATGAATCTCTTATAAATCTTACTTCAAAACATCAGCAAATCTTTCTATATCATACCATTACCTCTCTAGCAATTACAAACATTCACTGAGCATGATGATGTGATTCAGTAATGATGTCAGACTTGATGAAGTGATGTAATTATTATTGTCAATTGAAAAAGTTATGCTGGAACTCATTGGGATAAAACTCCAAACAGCTTTGGATATTTTAGTATTCAGGATACTTTATAGATAAATGGATAAATCTTTCCGTGATGTTGATTCTGTCGCTATTAAATGTCATCACAATGAAAACGAATCTACACTCCGCATTGTTCAAATTGCTTTGAGACCAATAAACTTAAATAGTTCGCCGCGAGTAAGCCTCTTTATGTGTGTGTCTACCCTCAGTGTTTTTTGAGCATGACAATACTAGCGC